CTGGTTGACAGGGGGCGCTCTACTGAAGGAGGAGCGAATTGAGAATTGTTTGCTGAAAAATCCCGCTGAAGCTGTTTTTATTGGGAGATACGAACTCAAATTCTTGCCAATAGTGAGGTATATGCTCTAGTTTCAAAGGGTGCCAATGATGCTTGCTCTTCTTCTTCTTCCCGCTCTTCGAAGTTACTGTTGGCTTATTGCTATCGGACAAGCTTTCACTATCATTTATTTTTGTTCCTTTACCCAAAATTTCCCATAAGTCGACCGAAGCCTCATTGTGGAGGTTACTTATTCCGGTCCTAGCAAGCACAGGGAATGGCCCCTCTTCCTTTGGCTCTTCTGTATCTGAACCCTCGTCTTGTTGGAGAAATGTCGATAGGCCTTCTATAAGCTAGCTCGTCTTTGGCGGTGACCATGTAACTGGATAACAAGTGCTGCTCTGTCACGCCCGAGAACGATGGATTGGCACTGACGAGGGAGCGGGGAAGACATGGGTGTTTGAAGGATCAGATTTGGGGTGGATGTTGATAGTCGATTGCATTCTAGTGAAGCATGGGCATGTTAGCCATTGCAAGAGGTGGATGAAATGTTATCTTCATCCAACTTACCTCGATTTGAAAACTCCAGAAATGCTATGACTTAGATGACAGCCATACTTATCTGCTTCTTCCACTTCATGCATCCAAGTCCTGCCAACTTGTGCAATCCTCTCCGTCTTGGACCGGACGCAAAGAGTGCTCTGACTCTTTCACAAGCATGGCATCTCCCCAGATCTCGAGGGGTACTCAACCGGCTCCCAGTGTACTCGCTGGGAACTTCAAGGTCTGGATCTGCTCCGGCTCTCAACAGCAGCTCCACGGTTTCGAAAACCGAGGCCTTCAGATACGGCCTGTATTCCGCAAACCCATACACCAGGAAGACCGGCTTCAAGGCATGATGAAGTGGCGTCTGCCCGCTTTCGTCTCTGGCGTCAATAATCGCACCTCTATCCAGGCAGTATCACACTGACACTGGCAGCGCACGTAGGCTCGCGACGTGTAGAGGGGTGAGCTTCTTTTGCCGCAGCAATATGGAGTGCAGTAGGCCATGTTTTTGGGGTTGTGACACTCGAATGGAGGGCTTGTAGTAGTTCGCGACTTGGGTTTAGATATGGTTCACGCTTGCTCCCACATGCAGTAACCTGCGCATCGTTGGTTGATTGTCATGCCTCGCCACCCATAAAAGCGCACTGCATTTTCGGAACTGGATGTTATAGCGGTATAGATAGTCGTTGAAGAGGTGGTGGCATCGTTGGTTGACGAGGTTGACAGAGTATGTCTCACGATGTCGATTAGGAGTTCATTTGGAAGATGTGAAAATGCTGCTTTTGAGTGTGGTCTTGACTCTTGAGGGAACGAGAATTATCTAATGTTTAGAGACATTTGAAGAGAATAGTTTTAGGGTGGTACTGCAGCAAACAGAATGAAACTGAAAATCATGCAGCTTGCCAACCAACATTACACAGCCCCTTATCCAAAACAACGCACGCAACAGGCACCAAGCACTTCTCATTGGCCTTCAGATTTCCTCGAGAAAGACGCCTTCGAATGGACCTGATGTGGAATCTAATGAGGAAAGGATTGACCATAGAGAGGACTTGAAATCTTGGAAGAGCCTCTGGGGAAATCCTGAGGAGTCATAGGAATTGTTTACTAGTTGATTAAGCGGTAACCAACCTTAAAAACGGACGTTTAGACTTCCAAGCAGGACAAATTAAATCTTGATAAGGAATCAAGTCGATTGATTGATTTCGTGCGCGGACTGATGTTCTGGAGCTATAGAGCGATGCGGATGGGAGCACTTAACTTCACTTGGCTGAGAAGTGCGCCTGTGTTATCTATAATACACTGCAACTTATACTCACCTCGTAACGCAATCAATCTCTGTGAAAGACCAGAGCTCTGTCCATGAGAAATTCAATAAAATGGCTCCTTCGAGAGTATAGCATTTTGGAATAAATGACTTCGCTTTCTTGATACATGAGCCACTTGACTAAGAGCTCCAATCCACCGTACTACTATATGTAGGTAATTTACATACAGATGTGGGATGAAATTGGTTGCTAACAGCTCGTATATGCAGAACCGTCTTGGCCCCCTACGGAGTAAAGCTCTTCGGGATCTAGTCGTCGTCGTCGTCCGTGAGTCGCAATCACAGCCCCACTTCCCGATATCTTTGCTGCCGACGCTAACATCTCCGCTCAAAGTCAAGCTTTCACTGATCGTGGGGCGAAGGCATGGCATTACCCGGTTTGCATGGGTTTAGGTAGATTGGTCGCATGACTCGCATCCGTGATGAACTAGTAGCGCGCCCCCCCCCCCGGCCTATAGGTACTTGGAAGACTTATAGCTCTTTAGCCCAGCCTAGCATATATCCCTAGAAACCCAAGAAACATAATAGTCAAATCAATTTTGAGGTGCGGACTTTTTTGTTAGAGCCTAGAACTCTGCTCTTTCAACAGCAATGCCAGCATGGAAATAGAACTATGGAGTAGATATTATGGAGACTATTTAGACTTAGGAAAACGCAGTAAGATTCTCTATTATTAGCCGCCACGTAACGCCCAATTGCTGATCTGCCCGGGTTTACGTACTGATTCCGGGAATAACGTAAGTGAACTATTTCTCAGTTTATATAAATAGATAGCATAGAAATGTTATAGATATAAGTATAAAAGATTAAGTTTACTTTCTTAAACTTAAATGCACCTCTATTATATGGTATAATATAGCTTGAGGTTTTGTTTCAGTTAAATCAATGTAAATTGAGAATGAATTATCATCAGATACATTGCCATGGAAATGAGATCGGAGCAGATCTCAAGATGTCTAACGAGATGTCGATCAGCAAAGATGCGGCAAGAGAAACGACGATCACCAATTCTAGATTGCGTACTCACGGGCAACGCAGTCGTGGCTCGAGATAAGTTGACGATACCGATTACAGAGGTTTAGTTACTTGTCGTTGAAAGTGGATGTGGGACGCGAGTCCGCGTACCCCCCCAGCCTCCGCACAGAGCACGGGGCGCGCGTACACCAATCAGCATTCCGCCATTAGCATCTAAACGGCTTCTTGCGCCGCATTGCGCCGCAATAATGCTTCATTTGACGCCATTTGGCATGTGGGTTACACGGGGCTGGTTCCGACAGGTGAGAGAGAGTTGAGAGTTTTGAAGAGACAAAAAGGTTTGTGTTTGTACTAGCTTTTTTTTTAAGTTCGAAACTAGGTCTGTTTTTACTCCACAACTTTATACTCCGCGCCACTTAGAGAGTTTAGATGTAGCAATTACAGGGCTCCTAAAAGGTCTAAACTCACTTAAGCCTGCTTTAGCTATTATATTTCTTGCTGTTCTGCTGATCTATACTAGGGTAAGGAGCTAGTTATAAGGCGAGGATCTATACTATCCTCGCTAAGCCTAGTCTCAGACTTAAAAAAAGCGAGGCGAGTATGCGGAGCCTCGAACTGAAGAGTTTTGGAGAAGTGCATCGATTAGCGTAGGATGAGCTGAGCAGTCTATACTTGGATGATGAGGAATTTGTTTGTTAAGTGTGGCAGACCATATTAATTATGTGGTTCAACTAGATTTAATATTCCGGAGAACGATACCCGTTCGCTATTTTAAGTCACTATAAGTCAGTGGGAATAGAGAAAGATTAATCGCTTGAAGGTTATATTTGTATTATCTTCATCTAAACTCAAATAATCCCCTTATTACAAACTAAATCCACTCCCTCCAAGGAAACCCCTACAGCATAATATGCTGTGGTATTACATATAAATATAACAAAATGGACCTTCCACAGTGCTCATGACATCCTTAATTGCAATAGTATCTGCATTGACTCCGAGATAAAGGGTATCGTCCAGAGTGCCATTTCGGCTCGCAGGGGAGTTGTCCATAGTGATTGTTCCCGAAATCGCATCTTGTCTGCTGGCAATATCCTGGTTTTGCCAAATCCACCAGGTCCTGTCGATTTGACCGTGGTGGAGCCAGAACACGGGATCACCTGGAGACGTGTAAATATCTCCACCTGGGTCGCCACCGATTGTGAAGTGTCCGCCACCGTGGACACCGTAAGTCCCCGCGGTAAAATTGCCTTGCATAGTAGTTTGGAACGAGTCTATGTCAGAGTTTTCTGTGATGAGGGCTGTGGAGTTCTCTTCGGTAGTCCACCGAGTTGAAACCCAGCTGGACACATCTCGCTTCAAGCATCTTGGGTTGTAGATTGTGCCGTTGTTTGAGACGATCTCGGATTCGGCAAGTGTTGGATCTACCGGACCAAGATGTACGGTCGAACTATTAATAACTTGTTAGTAAATTCGAATGGAAAGGGAGACGCGTGGAAATAACGCTAGAAAGTCTCACTTCTTGAACGGTCCGGAGTATATACATCCGCCACCCGATCCTGCAGGAATGCAGTTGAGATCGGTAGGCAACCCCTCGGTGCAATTGTGGGCTTCGTAAACTCCATTGCCACTCAAACTGTAGTCTCCTCCATCAAAAATAGGCGAATTAACAGGATCCGCTGCCTACAATCAAGAGGTTGGAATTAGTAAAAATTCTTCAGGGAGAAATAAGGAGAGTATTGGGAGTATCTTAAGGCTATGCTTCGGCGATAGAAGATGCCCCAGATCTACCACGAGAAGATATTCTACTCAAATGAATTGACTTACCCATCTGCCCCAGTTCCCTACACGATGTCAGCTTTGTTCTTAAATATGTATTTCCAAAAGAATCGCTAATACAACCCAGTGACTTTCACCTGGCCTGGGTATTGAAAAGTGTTACATAAGGTACAGCTTTGACCGACTAGGAGAGGAGTGCGACAACACCATAGCAGGTAAATAAGACTTGCTTGACCTGGGGCTTTGAAGTACATGGTATAGACGAGAGAAAAGTGCCGTAGGCCACGAGCAGAATGGGGATTCAGGTTTATCTTACAGTACTAGTATTTGTTAGATATAATATTGCATAGGTTGGAAATACAAGACTTACTGGCTGGTAGCCCGTATAACCACACTCATTTCTTAGAGCTTGCTCATAAGTGTATACGAACCATCTGTGCCAGGACAGGAAGTTCGCCTAGGAAGGTTAACACATCTGTGACAGGAGAACGAAAGCATTGTTACATACAGTGCCATGGATTGTCAAGGTTTGGTTGATGTGCTGGTAGAGAAAATCATCATAACTGGTGATATCAGCAAGTGTAGTATGTGGATACTCAAAGGCTTGAGCGACTTACCGAGACTTTGCACCGGGAACTATAGTAGCATCCGTCTTGGCCGGCAGTGCCATCAAGCAAAGAACAGAACTAGTGTAGTTACTTCTTTCAGTTTCTGTTAAGTTGCCCCTATGCAGATGGTTAGAGCAAGTATGCACATAAGTATTTGATGAAGCCTTACCACTCTTTTCGAACTGCGGCATTTTCCAGAGTACAGGTGCCATTTAGATTGCCGTCAGCAGCCCAAGTGGCAAGGTTGGAAAGAGCATCAGCTGCTAATTGGTCTGTGTTGGCCGTGGAAGCTGGCGTATAAGCTGCCGTTGACAATGCAAACAACGGCACCCATACGACGGAAGAGAAATGCATGTTGATATTCAGTGCGAGAAATGGTCAATGTGCAACTTATAAAAGGGTTGTAAGTTGCCGTGTCTGGTGCTGATGGTGTTATGGTGCTATGGCTATGTATACGGATATCTTTGAGTATTTGAGCGAAACTCTGGATCATGATGTGTATACGGGGTATCAACGCCACGCGGCCATGCAAGAAAGCCTTGTGACTCGTTATGCGGCTGGATATACGCGCAGTATTCTTTGAAATCAATAGGATGAGATTGAAGGAGGCTCATTCGGAAAGAAATCCACAGCAGCAGCAGGAGCGGGTATTAGTATTGAAGAGGAAGGAGATCTACCATCGCACTGATCGCAGAGATAACATGGGGCGGAAAGAAAAAGACTGCTGGACGACGGACGCCGAGCTCAAACAAGTACAGGTACGTGAAGTTATGGACGGACATTTTGCTTAGCCTACGCGTACCTACGGACGTGCTACCTCAACGTCAAGTCATACAGGGGTATAAGCAGGGATGCGATTTGGGCATGTTTTCTTCGACAACTAGTCGGAAGCCAATGAGAGGCCGTCGCTAAACACCCCTGAGTGACATGACTCCGAAGTACTTCTACTTCAAAGTTCTATAGCACCACCGTATCCGCTGCGAAGGGGCTGCGTCCGGCAAGACTAGGGTTTGTGTTATATTGCTATACCTTTTGTAATTTATTATTACTACTGCATCAATTGATTCTTCTTCCTCCAAAAATGACCAGAGATAGGAGGAGGTACGTATACAAATTACGTTGCGTTGATCGGTCTATAGTTGGGTCATCATTTATCTCCGTACCCCTTTTTGACGATCCAGGGGCCGGCCCGGACAATTCGCCCGGACAATTCGCCAAACGGTTGAGATGAGAAAGTAGATCTTATAAGTGTTGATCTTACGCTTTTGGTACATAGATAGGAGGCTATTCATCGCGCGTGCAGGTCTAGAGAGCAGGGTGGAGGTTACTATTGCTCGGATTGAAACAATTGTGATATATCATACGTAGTACTGGTAGACCTGTCAATGTTGCACAGAAACCATGCACAGCCGCACGGTGTTGCGCCTCGTCGGACAATTCATTGGGTGATTAATTTCCCGAGGACAGTACTTCGCAATCCGAGGATCTGCTTTTATTGTCTGTGGAGAAGTGCCTAGATTTCGCGATAGATCAACAATTCTCCCAACACGGTGGATATGTGGTGAAATAGAGAGGTGATCTGGTCTGTAGAAACTTCTATGCCGAAGGGAGTATAGTACTGTGGTAAGTTATATATAGAATACTGATAGTGGAAGCTGACCTCGCTACTAGAGCTCTATGGAGTGACGACCGTTAAGCTCCACTATTATTGAGAATTCCGGGGCTCTGCATCTGCTATAGGCTGTTGTCGATCCCACCCCATGTTTCGGCACTGCATTTTTACCCACCCACGTGTACAACACCGGCAGACCTGCCCTTCCGAGATTGGGAAGGACGGTACAAGGCTGAGCAGTCGGGGATACAGTATGTGAGTCGTTCCGCGAAAATCAATACTCGAATCCGCTTCAGTGGAGTAGTACTTCGTTACAGTAAAACGGTACATTCTCTATCAGCTGGACGGTTATGTACCGCAGCAGGCACTTCTTTCAAACTGTTTTTCACCTCTGCAGCCTTACCAAGTTACCATGTTCTCAAGCGGCGACTCGGCGAGCCTTACCTCGGCACTTACGGCCCCCAAAAGTCATTTTGGGGGAGAGCCACCGCACCTTGACAGACAGCTGAATATAAGAACCTCGAGGACTTATGATCCTTTTTGGAGATCAGTCCTACCTTGATGAGAAACCCTTGTCATAACCAGACACTTAAAATCGACCATGTAGATATTGGTTGAACCTCTCTGGCATCAAATTGAATTGTATTTTTTCTCTCGCTATGCTGCGTAGTCGAACAGAGATCCCCACAGAAAGAAGATTGGAGAGGTTGATATCTGATTTAGCTCTCCCTATTTCGCCATGAAAATGCCCCATCGCATCGCAGAACGCCAGCCAATGCAGACAGTAATAGGTATGACGACCATGGTACAAAATTCGCTTCTTAACCAGCCCCTAAATGCAACACCTTCTATCCACGACGGGGCCGTTTGTCATGACCCCTGGAATCTATCATTCCCTCATCACTACGTCTCTTTCTTCCAGTATCGTCTCTGGCCCGACCATCGTGACGTTCGTCGCCCCTAACTTCGCCCCTCGCATCTCTATTTCGACCACCAGAGCCTCTTTCATGTCCCCTGTCACCTCTCTCACCAGACCATCCAGCATCGTGAGTCTCTCGTGCAGCGTCGCGCTCTCTACCATCACGTCGACCAGAGTCTCTCTCCCTCTCTCGGTCCCGACCACTCTCCCTAGCAGCTCCTCCCATGTCTCTTCCAGGTATAAGTTCACGGTGGGGTGATCTGCCTGGGTGCCTCTCTCTCTCACCTTCACCACGATCACTTCTACGGTCGCGATGCTCGCTCCTCGGAGCGCGCTCTTCTTCAGGTGGGCCACGCTTTATATCTCGGGTACGATCCGGACTTTTGGAACCGCGACGGCTGTGGCGTCCGGATCGTTCTCTGCGACTGCTGCGTTCCTTCTCCCGCTCGTCATTCACGGGTGCATTTCCCGTAATTAGATCAACACGTTCTGAATTTACCATGTCTCGACCCAACTCCCTGGCCTCCGATCTCCCGGGTGGCGGTGGAGGTGGAGGTGGTGGAGCAATTGGTGTAGCTGGGTTCGAAGTCGGTGCTTCAGGCTGGCCACTGGCGCGGGCTACTCCACGACCTCGATGCCCAGGCGCATTCTGCTGTCCACCTTGTTGAAGCAAGGTGTTGATCGAAGATATTTGATTCCCACCCCTGTCTCGTCTGCCACGAACGTTGCGTTCAGTAGCTGAAGCTGGACCTGTCGGAGCAGCAAGGCCATTGCCTCCAGGCGTGATGGGGCTTGCCTGAGATGCTTTCGGGCCGGACGGGGTCCCCCGGTGATTACAGAAGGCATATGCGGTCTGGAATTTCCAGAGCCGACTTGAGTTGGGAGAGGCCTTACTGATGGTGTTTCATTCCCAAATGTCCTATTTCTGTCTTGATACATGGCAGGTGTGGGTGATGGGATTGCGGAATGCGGAGCAGGTGGCGAGGACTGTGCTGCCTGCGATCCTAAATGCTTCAATCGATCTGGATGGATGGAAGATGATGGTGACGGAGCAGCAGGAGTTGTCGGTACGGAGTTTGTAGCGACTGAGATTGGATCAAATTGTCCCGAAGCGGTCCGCCTCGGATGGCGGCCTGAAGAGGGACCTGTAGGAGGTTGCTTCTCTGGAGTTGGAGGACGTGGCATTTCAGTAGGACCTCTTGCATCTCGACGAGAGGAATTTCGATTTCTGGGGGTATTTCTGTCCCGTGGTCCCGAAGGAATTTCTTGTGTCGCAGCATTCAAGCGCCCAAAGTTAGGATCCGCCTGTTGTCGCAAGTTTGTGTTCAGGCGCCCATGATCCGGGTCGACTGAACGTGTTTGGGGTGGTGTTGATTGGAACGGCGCCCTGTCACCTCGTTCGCCAACTCGATCGGAAGGCCTATCACTACGAGGACCCGCAGGAGGCGGCGGCGCTGGTTCTTCGTTTCGAACGTGCGAAGGCCCATATACATCTGCAGGGCCACTGCGGCTCGAGCTATCATTACGTCTCGAGTCTGAATGATCTCTGTCGGATGTGTGACGTCTCGGAGACTGTGATCTTGCAGAGGGTCGGTCTCGGGGATCCTCCCTGGGGCGCCTGGGCGAGACTGATCGAGTGTCGGAGGACTTGCTACCAGAAATCAATGCAGCTCTCTCGGGATTGATAAGTTCCTGTCTCTCGGGATTGATCTGAGGCAATCTCTCCGGATTTGTAGTGATTCCTCGATCCGATGGTACCGCTGGTGTTCGCGGCGGAGGCATTCCATTCTCGCGGGATAGCCTGCCGCTAGTCTCGTTCATACGGTTGTTATTCGCAGCTCTCTCAGAATTTTCGCGAGACGAATCCGGAGTCCATCGTGGTGGATCGAGTCGGACACGTTCTCGTTCAGGACCCATGTTGCGATCAGAGGGTCTTCCAAATTCTCTGGGGTTGGAATCTCCACCTCGTCGATCGCCTGGTGGGTATTCGCGAGGGTCTCGAGGGTCCCTATCCCTGCCGTCTCTTCGGTCGCCATGGCGGTTTCGGTCAAGTTGTTGTCGACCTGGAAAAGGGAGCTCGGGCCGGCTTGGCAGGTTGTGAGATCCTCGATCAGGTAGAGAGCCAGGCGTGGAGTTCCGAGGATTTTCAGGGCGGGTGAGTGCCAGGGCTTTAGCAGCATTTTCTCGTTGAATCATTTCTCTCCTTAGTAAAACATCGGACTTTTTGGGTTCTGCCCCAGAGGGTGCTGTGGGAGCTGCAGGATTGGCCTCAGACGTGCTCCGAGAATTAGAAGCTGGTTTCACCGCGCTTGTGGTGGGCACTGCGCCGGAAATCTTAGCATCGTCCACTTCGCCATCTTCAACTTCGGTAGGTTTTGGCGTTCCAACACTTAGCGAACTATGGAAGATTAGCCAGGACAAAATAAGCTAATATAGCGATCAACTAACCTGGCTCGAGACTGAGGTTTAAACTCTGGGGCTGTAGGTTTCAAAGCAGTCTTTGAACCGGAGCCACTTGTTTGCGAGGCTGATCGCGGCGGTGCCCCATTAACCTTAGCTTGTTAGAAAATATATTTCCCGATATCTGTAGAACTTACCATGCTGTGGCCAAATGCTTGAACCATTACCCATTTTTTAGAACGCCTCTTCAACTGTACCAAAACTGCATTTCCAGTAAGAGACAGATCCTCACGATTGCCCTTCTCTCTGGCTGTGATTACTTCAAGTTGTTTGATGAAGCTGTTACCCATGAAGTCGATAGCAGGAAATACATCCGTCACAGACTTCAATACTGTGATAGCGTTCCGAATATGCATCCATTCCGTCCCATCTAGGCATTCGCGAAGGGCAGTATTTAGATTCTTGTGCCATAACAGCAGAAGATTCTTGAAGGAAGTACCTCCCTCGCCATCATGCTGAAGAACCCCCTTGGGAGTGCCATCATTATCCAAGGTCTTTGCAAAGCCTGGCAGGTTTTTGTTCTTGCCCCACGCTTCTTTCTCGTAGACGGCAGCATCCGCATGCCATCTAGCAAGGTCGGCAAGCGCAAGTCGGAGGAATCGACCTAGATTCTCTGCCTCACGAACAGTACAGGTGAAGATGATAGAGCGCAAGCGATGGGCTTTGAAGATCCGCATGTAGAGGGAAAGTGTCCGGAAATAAGGTGTGTTATTGTCGTGAAGGAATCTGATCATTTTGAAGCAGTAGTCTGCATCGGTAGGAGATATGAGTAGACGTGGGATCAGACATTTCTCGAGGAAAATATCATTCACAGAATCCGCCTTTATGGAGTGTTCAAACCAGTGGGACTTTGGTTTGAGCAGACGAGCTTTGGAAGCGCCGTAAGATTTGACCCTTTTGGACACCTCTGCAATCAAACTTTCTCTCGTCTCTGTCAGTTCTTTCTTCATCTCATCTCTTCGAATCATGCCTTGTCGACTAAGATCTGAACGATCCCTCGTGACAACTTCCTGAGCTTTCGTGAGACGGTTGATCTCGGTCTCATAGCTATCGGAAGGAACAGAAAGGTCGCTCAGTGTTGACGTCCAGAATGTGACATAAAATTCAGCACTGAAGGCGCTCCATGTGCTCTCTGGTAAGACTTTTTTGACTGTGGTGATCACAGGCTCCACAATCTCGGAGCATGGATCTACCGCTTGACTAGCCTCGGGAGGGGATAGCTCGGCTTGTGGAGCATTGGTGTCCTCGAGTTCTGCCATCTGTACGTCGTCGGTGGTTTCAATGCCGCTATTAAGAGTCTCATTTTGACTAACAGTAACCTCTTTACTGTTCAGTTCGTTTTCCTCGTTAAGTTCCATGCCAACGTCACCTTCAGCATCTACCTTCGAAATAGTTGGAGTAGAAGGTGACTTGGGAGCCTTGATTGACCCGTTTGTACTTGGAAAAGGAACCTTCGACAGACGGTACGTAATGCTTGACCGGCCTATCATGAAGGCAAGCGGTGGATTGAGACCAAAATTAGTCAAGAGCTCCGGAAGACCAGGGACATGTTTGTCGAATTCCTCTACTGAAAGGTTGCTGCGGAGTAGATCTAGATACTGGAACAAGATCAATTGAGTGTCATCGATCATGGTGGCCAAAAGTTTGATATGCGCATCTTCATCTGGTATCGAATAGATGGCCGACTGCCGATGTTGTGCAATGCAGAGAAGCAGAGGCCCAGCAAGCTCTGTCTCTGTAAGAGCCTTCATCAATTTTTTAGCAGTCTTGGTTGACTCGTAGCGCCTGTCTTGAAGATTTATGAGCGTCTGACGTCTGAGGACTTCACCACCAGTCATTGCGGTGAGTTGCGCGTCCGTGAAATCGGTGTCTGGAACCACGCCAGCCATTTGAGCGATGAGTTCCTTCAAAATGACAAGATCGGTGGAGGTCCCATTATATAGTTGGTTATTGACATATTTGATGATTGGCGAGAGATTCATAATCGAGTACTTTTTGAAGACCTTCCCAGCAAATCGTGACAAAGCTAATAGCCATCTGCTTGGAAGTAGAGCGAATTCCGCATTATTGCGGTCCCTTCCTCTAGCTCCGAGCGAGCTCATCAGTGACCAAACCAGAACGTCATAGCCAAGGTCAGTGAAGTATTTCGCACATTCCACCACAACTTCGGTGAGATTAGTGTATGCCTCAATTTGACTTAGGGCTACACTGAAGACTATGCCGGGGGATGCATAAGCGGTCTTTGCAAGGCTTCGTGCCATCTCCGTAAGATTGGTCATGCTAATCCGCTTCATGGTGCTCAAGGTCTCGAGCTTTGTACGTGCAAAGGCAACTTTCATAGCTGGTAGTCGAGATATCTGACCTTCGAACCACTCGGCATAGATCGAATATCTGATCGAGATTGGGTAGAATCGGAGCATGTTATAAACTTCATTAACGACGCTGGTGTTTGATTTTGTCATGCTTAGAGCTGGAACCAGGAGACGCTTGAGCAGATCTTGCCATCTCTCAAGGTTGTGTGGCGAGGGGTCGTCCGCCAGACTCTTTCCACCAATTCTGGCAAGCTTTGACAACAGGCTTGCATCTCTGCCAATATTGACACCGGAGTAGTTCAGAAGTGTACCGCAGAGGGTAAAAAGATCATCGACATTCTGACATATCGGTATATTATCTGTCCACTCATCCCAGTAGAACCTGTATGAGACATTCTCATTCGTGTCGAACTTGTCGGGAAACGGCCAGCGTAGTTGCTTCCGCGTGGCCATCTGAGTAAGCCGGACCTGTCCCTTGGGTACTCCACTTTGGTCGTAGTCGGCGACTTCCTTGGTGGGACATGCGGCATCTTTAACAGCAGTAGGACGACTGGCGTCATAAACATCCTTGACAGAATAATGTAAGATGCGGTTGATGAGATCGAGAAGTTCTGGGTAAGCTTCGGGAAGCCAAGGAAAGCGTCCGAGGATAAATAATGCCTCTGGGATGGCACCAATCGTCAGGAGGCAGATCAAAAGCTGAACCTTCTGGTCTGCAGGTTCATCAAGTTTCTCTTTGTCCTCAGCTTCGTCTGAAGCTTTCGTCGAGGCGTCAGGCCTTACCGCAGCCGATTCACGGGATCTGGCGTTGTTTGGTATAGTATCATCGACAAGAGCACCGGCCATCATTAGAGCATTTGATGCGCCGCCTCCGGGTCGATTGAGTTTCTCCTTCTCTGCCAACTCTTTCTGTTTTGCTTCCCGGACAGCTGGCATATCTTCATCCAAAGGCCATAGATGTGGGTACAAATCCCTAAGTGATATAAACCCAATTTTGATCAATAGCGCGGTCAGATAAATCAGATTTTGCGGGAGAATGTCGTCTTTGTCCCGAGATGCTGAAGCGTAAAAGCGAAGTTTGAAACCGAGCAATTGAGCAGCAACTCGATTTCCTAACGGTGGGAATGTCCCAGTCCCTTCAATCCATTGGCGATCTGCATCCAGTTCCGCATCATCGTGGCCTTTGCTACTGAAAATTCGGTTTTTGCTTTCAGCATCAACCACTTTCCTTCCTCCAAATTCGAAGAAAGCGTCCAGTCCGACTTCGCGAGCTCGTGCCCAGAATGCTTTGTCTCTACTGACCCGCCGCACTCTGGAAATCTCATCTTCTGGAGGTGACGACCAACCTGATGCATCTGGCGAAGCCCAAGTAGGAAGGCCACCATCTATCGTTTCGCTGTCAGCCAGCCCACTTCTGGGCCACCAGGAACTAATGCGGAGTAGCTTAATGAAGAATCTGTAGTGCTTGATAAGAACTGCTGCGAATACATCAAGCGTTATGTCGAGGACTCTTCCGACGTCTAGGTCAAACGTGCCTATAAGTCCCTTCACTCTTTCGAATGCATGTTCAGCCAGTTCGCTTGATGGCGGTTCGCTTCCACTGGTAGTGAAAAGTTCCGTGACAAGTTTTGAATAGCCTTCGGTCTCTTCTCGTAGAAGATTGTAGTTCGCTTGCCGATATAAGAGGTGTGTAGCTTGTCGAATGCCAACGCGGATGAAGGTGTCTCGAGTTAGCCCGAGATGCTGCAGAAACGGAGCATCAAGCTTCTGTCGCATAACAACTGGCGAAATCCCAGTGGCAACAGTGAATGGCCGAAAAAGTGTGTTGGACTTCTTTGGTTCTGGTTCTGGCTCTGCATCGTATATCATGGACAGCGTATCTAGGAAAAATGTTGGCGCATCGAAGATGTTCGAAGACGCATCGACCGGGGCAGTATCTGGTCCGAGGATCTCCTTGACGCAATTCCCAGCATCTGTGGCATCTATGCGACCATCCAGAGCCGCCCGTGTCAGTTCTTGAAATACAGAAGCAAGGTCTGTAGTATCCTCATCCTGCCGAGCCTGAATACCTGCTGCGACCACCTCTTGACGACCGCTTGTGTCCCAGGATGATATTCGGTCATCAGTAAGGAAGAAATAGTCGAAAGGAGCTGGATCTCGCTTTGGGATAGGACTGGGTAGCTCGAGAACCGGGGCTGGGGTCTGGGTTGCGCTGGATGGTCTGGGAGGAGGTGGGGACATAGGGCCTGGAGTGGGAGTAGCTCTTGTAGAAGATATCGTGACCTTGTTCGGGTTGTCGCGGTCATTTCGATCATTTCGATCATTCCGATCATTCCTGCGCCCTCTACCTCCTCCTCCTACTTGGCCTCCGCGACTCGACCTCCTGCCGGTATCCCTCATATCTGGTGCTCTATCATGCTGTCCCAGGTTGGTATTACCTGGACGATGTGGAGACGGGCGACCTTCACCTGAATCCACCGACGGTCTATCATTCCGCTTTCTCTTCGTAGGACCGCCCATATCAGCCTCGCTTTTAATCTGCGATCAAGCTCTTCGCATGTGGGTGAACCGCTGCTGCTTCTGCGAAGCCTCCCTTTGACGTTCAGGAGCTGGTGCAGGATCGTAGCAGGAGACGATTGCTGAAGGTTGGTGCTTTGTCAAGTGTCATGAGGAAGTAACTGTGAGAGGTCACCAAAGAAAAATATTCAAAGAAGAATGATGAGGAGAAAATGATCAAGGCGATCTGCCGCTGCCGTTGATGAATTTCCTTCCTATGCCAAAATTCACCAGGTCCGTCTTCCCTTCCACTGAGCTCTGACTTTCGCGTTCTGACTAGCGTCTTGGCGCAGGGTTCACCAGCCACAATCTCCATCTGTGGCTGCACGCCCCGCGGCCGACGAAACATAATCTGACTCCTCAAGTTCTTCATTCCGCGACCACGAACGTCTATCAATCTCTGTTCGCCGCTTAAAGATCGAGCTTGCTGTCAGATGCTACAATGGCCAGCACATCATCAAAGTCTCAGGCCGTTAGCTCTGCATATTATGGTCAGTATACTCATCATTACCCCTCATATGCATCATCATCCTCGAATGGCAACTGAATACGTCCAAGAAAGAACGCGCCAGCAACCCGAGAACCCTTTCGCATCCCTCATACCCGACCAAACCATCGCTATCATCCCATCATTTACCCTCGAATCCGGTGTCACCTTGCACAACGTTCCACTGGCGTACAGCACAAGAGGAAAGCTCTCTCCAACTGGTGACAATGCTATGGTGATATGTCATGCCTTGACCGGCAGTGCAGACGTTAGTGACTGGTGGGGCCCTTTGCTGGGCGGGCCTGGCCGAGCATTCGATATCTCCAGGTTCTTCGTCATTTGCATGAACAGTCTAGGGAGTCCATATGGGAGTGCAAGTCCCGTCACTTGCAAAGATGGGAACCCCGAGAGTGAGAGATACGGCCCCGAGTTCCCGCTGACAACGATAAGAGATGATGTCAAGTAAGATTCTACGCTTTAATCTGCCCCCAGAAATTAATTGTGCATCAGTCTTCACAAATTACTTCTCGATGAGCTGGGAATAAAGCAGGTCGCGGTGGTCATAGGCGGTTCTATGGGCGGAATGCTGGTTCTAGAATGGGCATACTTTGGAAAGGACTACGTCAGATCAATTGTTCCAATTGCAACCTCGAGTCGACATAGCGCTTGGGGAATCAGCTGGGGCGAGGCACAGAGACAGAGTATATACGCGGATCCAAAGTACGACGATGGATATTACCCCTTTTCGGACCCACCTTCAGCAGGACTAGGGGCAGCACGAATGTCTGCGCTGCTAACATACCGAAGTCGAAACTCCTTCGAGGCCAGATTCGGTAGAAATACCCCTGATGCATCAAAGAAGCAAACCATCAGTGAGGATCAACGGCCCTCAACCCCTGGAGAGGTACATGTGGCAATACACAATGATGGACATCGATCAACGCGCTCGCCACGTTCCCCATCATCACGATCTGGAAGCTCAACGGCAATTTCCCGCAAGGCAGAGACAGATGGTGCTGATGCATCCAACTTCATGGACCCACAATTCCACGGTGCAAAATCTGCTAGGCCAGAAGCATCGACAGAGTCGAAAAGAACAACATCTACTTATTTCTCCGCACAATCATATCTTCGCTACCAAGGCGAGAAGTTTGTTAAGCGATTTGATGGTAATTGCTACATCGCCATCACTCGAAAATTAGATACCCATGATGTCTCAAGATACAGAGTATCTGCCGATTCTCAAACACCCATCGCCGATGCACTAGCTCAGATTCAACAGCCCACGTTAGTCCTTGGGATTGAAAGTGACGGCCTATTTACATTCGACGAGCAGAAAGAGATTGCAGCGTCTATCCCCAATGCGCGATTACGAAAGATTGATTCTCCCGAGGGGCACGATGCGTTCTTACTGCAATTTGAGCAAGTCAACAAGCACATTCTCGAATTCTTGGGTGACGTACTACCAGATATCATGGCGGTACCTGGAAGAGAGGATGTCGAGGCCGAGGAGGGAGTAGGAGCTGTAACGAAGAGTAGTACGTTTGGAGAGGCTGAGGTAGATGATATTACAGCGTGGTAGAAAAAAGACTTCAAATACGCAAATCCTGATAGACTCGTTACTCTTCCTTTCTGCTGTTAAGTTGCAAGAGCTTTCATTACAATCGGCATCGGTTTGTCTTCTGCTCTAGACCCTTCGAATCAAATCGCCACAGCAAGATTGTCATGCATGTCTTCAATGAGCACTCATTCTTATATAGACAAGGGTTGTGAGCAAGTGCTGTATGCAAAACCCGAAAGTCAGCCAGGGAATTCTAGCAATTTATCACCTCCATTTCCAAACTTCCTGTCTTCCCATTTTCCACAGAGTTTCCATCCAGCGCACCGGTATCGGTCCTTAAAAACCCCTCCCTACCTACTCCTACCATGCCCGCCAAAGTTCAATACTGGATCAATCTCCAGATACCAATCAACAGTTATTTCCAAAAAGGACCCCCGCAGTCACCAAAGCATCATCCCACAAATCCCTACAAAAATCCTCATGAATCCTATCCACCCAGAAAAACCTCACCAGCCACGATTTCGCATCTTCCCAGCTGCACAACTGCATTTCCATCATAGTAAGAGTAGCGCTTGCCTTTGCCAGCCGAGCCACGAACCACGCTCTATCTTTCGTCCCGGCCAGAGCAGCACCGCCCATGAACAACACCCAGAGAAACAGCGCCCGGACTTGCTCTGTCGCCATAGTCAGGTCTGTCATGTCGAGACAGAACTTCAGCCGCGAGATGAGCGCCGAGGTCGTCATGACGTTGGCGGGCACCCAGCCGAATTGCAGATGCAGATGGTGGTCGTAGATGGTCTTGAGGTAGAACCGGGTCCCGATGCAACACAGTTCATCGATGACGGCATTTTGGTCTTGGGACCCGGACGGCTGGTGCGAGAATAACTGGTGGTGGATTGGCGAGAGCAGTGTCATGCGAGTGAGGTGCATTGTGGTGCTGTTCAGGAGCGAGGTTAGGTTTTGCAGCTCGCCGAGTATGCCGATGAGATCCTCTTTCATGTCGAACTTGGTGATGATATCTCTTAGGTCGGGGGAGAGTGCGGGGTTAGGCTGTATAGGTGACGAAGGGCGCGGATACAGGTCTTTTGTGTCGAGACGGGAGAATCGGGGCTGCGAAAGCGTGCTGCTGCAACCAAAGAGATTCGCTCTGGTTTACTGTCAACTGAAGCTGAGCGCCGGTGCTGGAGATGATGGTATTGTACCTGTATACTTTGTTCTTGACATCGTCGTTCAAGGTTGCAAGTCCTCCCTTGATTTCTACCATTTTTTGAAGGCCGTTCATATGAAGAATCCAATTCGCAAAATTCCCTGTTATGCTCTGAAGAGTTTTGATTGCTTAGCTTATATTATTCTTAGTCGGTATAAAAAGAAGCATTTACCTCAAAGTCTGCTAGATGTGCAACAGCAAGGAAGGTACCGTCGGATAGCTCTGAATGAGAACCATGCAATCTCGTGCTAACCAAACGACATGCCTCTTTCATGTGTTTAGACTTAGCGGGAGACTCTCTCCGTTTCAAAAGAAGATCCTGGGTGATTACTGTGCCACAAAGGAGTGCATGAAATAAAGCTGCGTCTGATAATCCCAATTGTAAATATCCCGAAACTTTCCCAGGTGAGATATGTACTTTCGTAGTCATAGCAATGTCTATAGCGAGCATAGTGCGTTAAAGTCTTGAAGGTTCTCTGGAAATTATGACCATAATCAGAGAAGGAGATTCTTACATTGTTCGACAAGCGAATACATATACGGCTCCATTTTGATTGGGAATGTCGGAACGGAGTCAAGCGATAAAAATGGTTGTCGAATGGTAGGTGTTAGCTGCAAAGGCAAATATTTCGTTCTATTACCTGCGGCGAATCCCATTTCCGTAGTCCCTTCGATCGAATTTTCCTCGCCATGTTTACGGCGTTGGGGGTCTCGATTCACAGGAGTTCGAATGTTCCTTTTTGTCTTTCTATTAAAACGTGCTGGGCGGGTTACATTGACAAATTTCACGGGCCGTGAGTCAGCTTTTGCAGTTTTGCCTCTTTTAGACTGTGCAAGGCTAGCAGTATCTATCACGATATTTGCATCAGGCTCGACAGGTAATAAGACTGGGAAATGTTGAAAATCTGGTTTACCTTCTTTAGGCTCATGTGCCTGGGATGCAACAATCGGCTCTTGCCAAGAAATCTCGTGGGGTGTTTTGTCCTCCTCTTTGCTGTCAAAGATGACTACTAGAGGACGACCATTGGGATGGCGAAAATAGCCGTTCTGGTCTCTTATTACCTCAACTGAGTTGTTCATGCTATGCAGAGGCATACAATCGGGATTTTGTATCGATGAAATCGGCGCGAATGGCAGGCTGTAATTCGTACTGTATGCGTATGCTATGTGGACCGCTTAATGTTTTAGCTTACTGTTAAACACGTGATTGATTTTTATTCATTTAGATTTAATTGCTAGTCCCAGGAAATCTTATATCAAAGATGTAGTTAATCGTTAATAAGAGCAGGGTTTAAAACTTTACTTTAAGGAAGTGAAAACATGAAGATTCGCGATTTTAGAGCAAAGTGTCGATAATAATTAAGCGACGCGATCCATGTCTAGAATAGTTAAGACAACGAGACTTGACGGGTTATAAACGTTAAAGCTAGAAATGATATCTCTTGATACACCCTCTCTTAAATTTGGAAGTACTTGTAGTAGCAGGGTTACCTTTCACTCCATAGAGTCCATACTTGGTAGGGCTTGCGCTAGTGTGAGTGTGAATTACTCCGTACTCGAGTAAAGTGGCTGTACGCAACTCATTGGCTGACGGGTGCGCCTCAGTCTGGTTATCACTCACGATCGATCGAAAGCGCAGCCATGCTACCTCGTATGTTCGTATTTTTCTTCTCGACCTTGGACTTTCCGATCACCGCCATGTATACCTAGGTATCTACCCCAACAATTGCCTGCATCTTCGCAACAACAGGACAGCTTTCGCTGGCGCACATGGCTTCGAGAGCCCCCGTTGCAGAACATCTTGCCCCTGAGCCTAAAGGCAAAGCCACAGCTGCTCCGAGCGGGTCAATATTGGCACCCAGCGATGAAGCTGCTCCTAAAGTATCACATTTCAAAACCGAAAGAACATTCCCCATTCGCATCCACGCGCCACACAAACCATCCACATCGAGTAAGTTAGTTATTATAGTAGGCGAGGCTGACTCTGAACCGGAAGCAAGAGTTGCTGACACGTGACATGCATCCATCCAGCTGCAACCTTTGCCAATAATTCCCTTGATGAAGATCCACGATCCCGCGTTCCTCCAAGAAATACTGGTCCCATTGATACCCCCCATACTACTCTTCCGGTCCATTCATCTTCGCCTATCTATACTCACTCGAATTCCCCCCAGATCGCCATCGGCCAGAAACCGACCACCACACCCGCTGCTCTAGGGTCACGTTATGTCACCAACAGGGTCAGCTATCTTTCCACCACTGACAACAATGTGTCTACCGCACCTTCAACACCGGAGCAGAAGATATATCGTTGCGAGGACGAACCTATCCATATCCCAGGAGCCATACAGTCGTTCGGAGCATTGATAGCCGTCAACGAGAATGAAGAAGGCCTCTTCATTGTGCGAATAGTGAGCGAAAACTCGCAGGCAGTGACCGGTTTGGACCCCGAATCTCTCTTCAGTCTACGCTGCCTCACCGATATTTTTCCACAGAGTGACAAGGTGGATTTCATTTATCGGGCAAAGGCGCTCCGCACATACAAATCAAGAACGAGTCCCGACGTCTTTACATTATCCCTGTATGTAACCTCCTCCGGGGTATATTCACTACCTGCGGCAACTCAGCGCTGATTTGCTCTCACAAACGTTTCAAGCGTGGGCTGTTCCCAGAATTGAGTATCAATTCCCGTAGAAATCATTCCCACTCCCAGATTTACCATGTAGAACAATGCTAACTCCGGGTATTAACTATAGGTCCTCTCTCGTCGGACCGCCGATACCTCTCTTCTGTGCAATGCACTTGAACGATGAGTCTGACCTTATCGTCTTCGAATTTGAGCTGGAAAATGATGTTTTTAATTCCAGTGACCCCCTACCTAAAGAACCTGTCCAGGTTGCTGATATCCATCCCACCGACAATGACGTACAGCAATCGACTACTAGTAGAAGTTCGCCCCTTTACTCCGTCGGAGTTGCCCGCAAAAGGAATCGGGATCTTGGGTCATTAGAAATATTCCAGATACTAAATGAGATACAGCACCAGCTAGGGACACCCGAAGTGTTATCGGACCTTTTGGATATCATAGTCGGTCTTGTCCGGGAGCTTACAGGGTTTCATAGAATCATGTGCTATCAGTTTGATGAGACGGCTTCTGGCTCTGTTGTCAGTGAGTTGGTGGATTTGTGTGCAAGTGGTGACCTCTACCGTGGCCTTCATTTCCCTGCATCGGATATCCCCAAGCAGGCTCGGGATCTTTATCTGGTCAATACGATTCGAGTTCTATACGACAGAGATCAGGAGACATCTCGACTCCTCTGTCGCACAGAGGAAGATGCTAAAATCCCACTCAACCTCAAGTATTCATACCTCAGAGCTTTCAGCCCAGTGCATCTAAAATACTTAGGAAATATGGGAGTACGAGCCTCTATGTCTATATCGTTGATAGTTCAGGGGAAGTTGTGGGGTCTAATTAGTTGCCACGGCTATGGGTCAGGTATGCGAGTCTCTCTCCCGGTACGAGAACTTTGCCGCGGCCTTGGTGATATCGCCAGTGGCAATATCGAAAAACTGCTCTATTCGTCTCGAATCAAAGCTCGTAAACCTCTAGCGCACACCCTTCCCCAAACATCACCGTCCGCATACATTGCAGCCTCAAGCTCAGACCTACTGCAGATGTTTGATGCCGAATTTGCATTCCTCGTCATTAAAGGAGAGGCAAGGACAGTGGGGAAACTATTGGCATATGGTGAGTGTGTCAACCTTCTCCAGTATGTTCGACAAAGATCTTTCACGTCGGTCTTTCATTCGCAAAATATTGCAGTCGATTGCAAAGATGCGATGCATTCGCCAGGTGCCATATCAACGCTATCCGGCATGCTTGTTGTCCCTTTAGCTCTATCCGGTGCCGACTTTCTCGTATTCTTCAGGAGGGGAAAGCAGAAGGAAATTCATTGGGCAGGGAATCCTTACGAGAAGAGCGTCCGCCCAGGTACTGCCTACCTCGAACCACGGAGTAGTTTCAAAAGGTGGAGCCAGAGCGTTACTGGAACGAGTCGAGAATGGACTGAGGATCAAAGTATTTCAGACGTCAATTTCCCACTTCCCGGTCTGGAACTGATTATGTTTTAGTCGAATCCGCAATAGTACTAAGCGCCTTATATGGAAGATTCATTGAGGTGTGGCGACAGAAGGAAGCCATAGTCCAAAAGAATAAGATGACCCGACTTCTCATAAGAAATGCCGGTCATGAAGTCCGTACTCCATTGAATAGTATCATCAACTATCTGGAAGTAGCGCTTGAGGAGACATTAGATGTAAGCATTGAGTAAAGTTATATGGTTTGTCAGGCCAAAAACCTCAAAACCAGTCCGTACTGCGAACTACACAGTCGATGCTGACTCCCTTCTTAAATAGGAAAGCGCTCGCATGCACTTGCAAAAATCTTTACAAGCATCAAAGTCCTTGATATTCGTGGTCAATGATTTGCTCAGGCTGACCGAAGCCGAGACTGCTGATTTCCATGCCCACGAAGACAATTTGGACCTCAGAATCATGTGCCATGAAATAATTGACGCTTTCGGTGCGGAATCATCAAGAAAGAAGATCGAAGTCCGATTTGAAGACGACCAAGAGGTGCCTCCGAGTGTGCGTTGCGATCCTTCGGGGTTAAGACAAGTACTTTCAAACCTCATGGCGAATGCAATAAAGCATTCCAGCCTCGAAGGCGGCCCAATCCAGATTAGTGTGAAGCTTCTGAGCACCACAGACACCAAATTGATCATCGAGATATCCTTTCAAGACCAAGGATCGGGGCTATCAGAGCAAGACCTCGATAGGATATTTCAAGACTTTGAGCAGATTCTGGACGAGGATGAGAACCAGATTTTGGAGGTCCCAAATTTGATCTCGAAACCGCAGACCGAACTCGTATCGATTGGTCTAGGACTAGCAACTACAGCAAGATTCGTGAGGCATAATCATGGCCAGATCAGGATCGCATCGGAGGAAGGACATGGGACGCGCGTTTCAATCAACATTCCGTTCCGCAAGGCTCTGAGGTTCCATAGAGACAAGCGTCCAGCGACGGAAATTTCGCTGCCTGCCCCACCGGATCTTGCGTCTATCAATCAAGAGAGTGGGTCTACCACTCCAGCTTCCACAACACCCTCCGAAGCATCTCCCTTAAAGGCTCAAAAAGACGGTCAATATTCCAGCGCTTCCAAGCGAAGCAAGGAGTCGCCTTTAGGGTTGCCAAAGATTACCGACGCGGAAGAGTCAACCCACCCACGACTTGACATCAACGCTCTAAGTCCAGTAAGCCCAGGCACGACGAATGATCGCTACCCATTTCCTAGCATTGGTTCACAGCTAGCGAAGAACAAATTTCGTGTTTTGGTCGCCGAGGATAATCCCTTGAATAGTCGTCTCATAGAAACTCGTTTAGTCAAGAGTGGCCATGAAGTAACAGTTACCGTGGATGGCCAAGCTTGTGCAGACGCTTTCAAAGGTACACCGGAAAACTTCGATGTCATCTTGATGGATATTCAAGTAAGTTCTCACCCGATTTCCCCCGCATTCTTCCACCCGATAAAGTCACTTGGACGCTGACAGTGAGTGCTCAGATGCCAATTGTAGACGGCATATCGTGCACTCGCAAGATTCGCGAATTCGAAAAAGTACACCAGCCCGAAATGTCCGAATATGCGAAACCGTACGGCCGGATTCCTATAATCGCCGTTTCCGCCTCGTTGTCGGAAGAAGCTCGAGGGAACTACGTCGATAGTGGCTTCGATGGATGGATCCTCAAGCCGGTTGATTTCAAGAGACTAGAAGCTATTCTCGCGGCGATCCTGGATGAATTAATGAGAGAGCATCTCCAATATGGGAATGCGAGCTGGAGGAATGGGGGGTGGTTTAAAATGTCGGGTCGGGTGGGGATTCGGCCCCGGGCATAGCTTTGGATGAATGAATGAATGAATGATATGATATGATACGATACGATACGATACATATTATTCCTCGGAGGAATAGCAAGTGCCTGAATTGCAGGCGTGCATTTGTCCGAATTGGTATGGTAGACGATATGTGGTTTGAGGGTTTATATAACCGTTATAGACTAAATACGGTCCTGAGGATACCCACCGATACACTTGGAGCGCATTAAAAAGCATATATATTAGAGTATATTTCACCTTGAATATAATGCAGAGCAGATATACGTTAATCTACCACCCAGACGTGATACGCTTACTTGCCTTGACACTTGCTCGCCACTCAGGGGTACGCATAGTATAAGCGACAAATCACGTGACTCATGCTTCCCTTCTCTTATTTCTTTAGCGGGATCTTCAACATCTGCTAGCTGGTCTGGTTGTGTCTTTCCTCTTTCAGGGCACATAAGCCCGAGAAATATAAGGATAGATAAAAAAGGAAAAGGAAATATGAACATATATATACTTCCTGGTTAATATTCGTTTATGAAAGATAGGTTTAGTAGGTTTAAGTTAAACGCGCGATATCTATAGTGGGGGATGGAATAGTGTCGGGCTTTTAGAAAGGCAGCTCGATTGGGTTTAGATGTTCTATACTATCATCACGAGGACATGAGAAAGAGGAAGAATGCAAAGTTCTTCCTCAAACGTGACCTGGCGCTTAGAACTTGCGACGCGCGCGATGAAGGTTGGCGGTGGGGGTAGTCGTCATGCATGCATGCATAGAGGAGTTCACGAGGTTTCGTGGGCAGTATATCAAGAGTTCACAGCTAGCCGAGGTCAAATAAAGGGGGAAGAATACAGAGTATACAAAGTAATAGTATAGATGTAGGTTAACATACATATTAAACACTTAGCGATCTTATATTTGACCTAATTACCTTTCATTCCATTTCTTCCCTTTCCGTATTTCGCCTATCCCTCAGTTCCTAATAGGATTACGTTTAAAGTATACGCATATCATAATCATTCCTCGCTTTCTCCCACCCGTACCATACGCCATGCTTAATTATGCCTATCCACCCATTATAGAAATTTATTTCACCTCTATCTCGTTCGGTGTCGTTGGCATACTGTGAAAGTCGTCCTTTTCGTCGTCGTCGATAGTTCCCACTGTTTCCTTCATCTCGCTGCTCTCATTCTTGACAATATCCTCGACTTTGACCTCGGGGGTTTCTTCAACGTTTGGTGTAAGGTTATCGAGATGTTGTTCCTCAAGTGCGTGCTCGACTTTCTCTTCGAGTGTTTCGCCATTCACTGCTGATGCTTTTGCCGTTTCGGTCTTCTCTAAATCTTCCATCACGATTTCCTTCTGTTCCTCGACACTTCTTCTGTCTGAGCCATCTGCAACGTGTGAGTCGATACTATTTCTGTTTGCGCTATCTGTAACATGCGAGTCAATGCTCTTTCTGTTTGCATTATCCACACCATGTACGTCCACTTCTTCGAATTCCGACTTCATTGGGCTCTGGCCGCTTGCTTGATCGACCGTGACTATTCTGCTTGCTCTTGCTACGCTCCGCGGTGGTAAAGGTGGAGGTGGTCTCTTGGGGATGGTCACTACGCCTCCTCGGGCTTTGATGGCTTGTGGGGTCAGCATCTGAGCCTGAGCTGAAGCGGCCTCGAAAATAACTGGCTCCTCTTCCTCTTCATCATCCTCGCCAACGTAGTTGAGTTCAGCAGTATGGTGCTCACCATCAAGCTCACGTGGGCTTTCGTTAACGGTAGTTCCATCGAATTCTTGACTATGGTTCAGGTTGCTATAAGGACCGAGATCGATTTTCGTATAATCAACCTCGTCCGGCGTAACAACCTCTGGCTTCTCATTCAACGGCTCAAATTTCTTTTCACTGCTATTGCTGGTGATGGGCGATACGGGGCCATCGGTTTGAGTGCCCATTTCAGTCTGCGTCGATCGATCCACACTCGTCCTTGTATAACCGCTCCGAGTTGACAAGAAACTCTCCCTATTGCTTTTCGTGCCGATTGTATCCATACTTCGGCGATGAAACCTGCTGTATACAGGACTTGTTGGACTAGGATTGTATTCAAATTGAGAACTTGGAGGTCTGCTTTTTGTCCCGGCTTCTTTTATCTCCAAACCTGCGTTTTCTAACGCAAGTACACCGAAGGGATCTGGATCGTCCCGTTCTGGGACACCGAAAGTAGGTGCAGTGGGCGATGTGACTTCGAAGTCTGCGGGGGCAGGCTCATCCTCGAGGGCTAATATTACACTCGAATCGACATCACTTCTGCCTTCTGCTGCTTTAACCGTCTCCATGAGCATCTTGATCTCGTAGGGCGGATGTCGAACTTTTCCAGCCAAAATGTTTGCGACGCCTACTCTCTCTCCATAGAACCTCTCGTTCTCGTCCGATCGCTCGATTATGACTGTTCCGTCGACTTGGACTCCTGCGTAGAATCCCCGCGATTTGAGGTAGGTGAAAACTGGGCGGCTGTAAATAAGTCAGTATAAGATGCAGCACACGGGAATCATAAAACAATCATAAAACAAAGAGTCGACTCACTTTGCCTGTTTCCACTTCCCATCATTCTCCAAAACCCCACCAACTCCAGCAGGCCCGGCCACAGCACTTATCTCGCCCCCAATTGTAGCACGAATCTTGGTAAAAGAATCCAGAGCCTTGCGATTGTTGATGACAACCACGCAATCGTAAATGTCGACACCAACAAGGAATCCAAGGCCGGCAGTATGTAATAATATACCAGACGGTGGCGACCACTCTCCATCTTCTTTCCTTGCGATTAGCACGCCACTTCCACCAGCGCCCGAGACCCACAGCCCCGTTCGCATCGTAGTGAAGATAGCCAGCCCGACTGCATTCTCAATAACACTCTGCGGTATCTTTTTCAGTACTCTTTGTTTCCCTTTCGGCACATCGACGGTCGCGGCGCGATCCTCTTCGGCATAGAATCCATCCTCTGCAGAAGCAGTGTTAGCAATTGAGAAGAGACTGGGCGCGTAAAGGAAAGCACTTACTGCAAAATGATTTCAAGATCCTAGCGGCCTTGTCTGATTCCTTGTCGAGTGTCGTTGGCCAGAAAGCTTCACTCCCTATTTTATTGGAGAGTTTGTTCACAGGCGCGCCGACTGCCATGGGGTGAGCTAGGTCCGATTGTAACAGGCGCAAAAGCATAAAAACTTACGTTTATCGAGGGCCTGCCATGCTTTATCAAAGCCTTTCTTGCTGCCAGTCTTCGTCTTGTCCCATGAAGGAAGTATGGAGGTGACTTTCTGCATCTTCAGCGCAGTGGAGGCGAGTCGATTCGACACCAAGGCCGAGTCGAGTTTCAGGCTGTAGGGAAGGTCCTCGCAGATGAAATCGGGATGGCGGGGAAAGAGATAGGACGGGATCCACTTCTGGTTGGTCGTGGTCGTACTACTGTAGGTACTGTGTTGCGCCTCTACCCCCAACTCGACGACAGATGGATTATGTATATAGAGAAATGAAGTGCAAGGAGAGGAGAAGGAGGAGGGAAATAGGAGAAGAGGTAGAAGTAGCAAGTAGAAATAAATGCAGGTCAATTAGTCAGTCAACAAGGCTGCGAACATGCGGCTGGGCTGGCTTTTCGTTTTCCGGAAAAGGCGGGTACAGCAGTGAGTGCACAGGCTGCTGATGTCATGTCAGATGCCCATTTTCATCTGGTCTGGGCTGGGTTGGGCTGGCTCGAGGCTGGGTACGAATCATCCTCGTAATGTCGGAAGAAACAATCGGATTTTAATCGGGAAGGAAGCAGTAGTTCGATGTACGCTGGGTACGGTATTTAGAATTGAGAGAGAAGATCAAAATAGGTTTTCTTCTTCTTGAGCTTGAGCTTCCCTTGTATGCAGATCGATCTACAATAGGCGGGTCCTGCCGCTCTTTCAATCTTTCTTTTGAATCGTAGAAGATCACCTCTATACGAGTATTCTTTCCCGTCTAGGAGATGAGAGATTGAAGAATGAAAGACTTCATAATTCAGAGATTTAAAGTCACTGTCTTTTAACCCCAATCTTCCGCTCAGCTACAGCTACAAAAAATCACCAAAAACCTTCCTCCAACTATAGAAGAAACCGCCCCCTTAATCAAGCCAGTTTCCCAAAAAGGCACCCGGTATCATACAAAGCTGTATTCAAAGAACCAAGAAATATGCCCTCATCAATCGTTATCGTTCCATCACCACCTTCCTTCACCGAATCTTTCGTAATGTAGTAGATATATACTCGTGAATCGGATCGGCAATAGCCTGCGCGAGGGAAGCTTATCGTGTAACTCCGCTCCCATCCGCATAAGTTCCGTAGAGACCGCTGCCGCCGGTTTTCAATTCCCCAAGGCCCTCCTTGACATCTTCTGCCTGTTTATTTCCCTTGAGCTCCCCTATACAAGTGCGATCAAGTTAGCCCGCCGTTCTTCCTACCTTCCATTCACAACTCCATCCTATTGTCTTCCGCGCTACTCCTCCACCAATTACCCCCTCACCCAGGCCTCCATTAGTTGGACCTCAGCAACTCGCATACAGTACAAGAATGCGACATAAATATAGCAATATAACAACAACTCAAGAAACCACAGCACGTACCCTCAAAGAAATCCTGCCCCTCTTTCATCCCCCTCGCCTCCATCTTTTTCTCCTCACCCTTGGCCTTCGCACGGAAAAACATCACCCCAACTTGCTCAATCACCGGATCGAGAAGTCCCGCTATATAGGCAGCGCCGAGAGTAATAGCAATGATGGCCGAGACGAGGATAGACATAATCGCCATGTTTGCGAGTTGATGAAATCGGGTTCTTGGCTTGGATAATCGATCGTCGAAGATACAATACAAGTATAATTAATACCGTATAGTATATCCTTTGTGATTTCGATTTCGAAATAATCCTTTCAATGATGTGTTGGAGCAATAATCTATTCGGGGATACAGCTTTACTTAAAGACCCTTCGACCGCCCATGACGTTTAACCTTTCTTGAACTTGGCCAGGTTTGTCCCAGACCAAGTTTTCTTACAACTTGACACGACTAACTTGGTCTTTGCAGACAATAGCGCACTGGTACATACTGCTATAGTACGCATTGTGGGAGCAGGAATCAAGTAGAATACGTACCTAGGTAGGTAGGTAAATGACATTCAGGTATCATAGGCAAGGAATTCGTTTACAACCCACCCCCCTGATGAAAGCAAGCCGCGTGAAATGAAGCTGATAATTGCATTTAACTAATCTTCATATGCTTGAGAACCTTATTCTGGTTTCGATGTTTTGAAATTATCTTCACGGGAATAGCGGTATCAGATCACTTCTTTGATGGTAGCGCTCTTAATACAACCCGAATCGGCACGCGTCAGCACGACTTGAGTCACTCATTGACTAAACAACTACACGTACTATCTAGCGTAGCGAATTGGGATGAATAAGAATATTATAATAGTTTCCACCCATTTTTTTAACCTCTCTCATTGCCTGTCTATCTATCTCGTTATCTACTAACTCATCCCCGTTTATAATCTCTATAGTCATCATTATACTAGAATCAAGGATTCCGATTTCCCAATACTTTCAGGAATTAAGAGATCTACTTTAAGCCGTATTTTTCTTTTCATATTAGGAACCAAGCAAGGAGGTGATTTACGCTTTTTTTTTCACACTGATATTAAATAAGAAGGGGGAGTATGCGCGGAAGCCAGTTTCAGTTTTTAACCGGAGTATTATATTCGCTTTTCTTCTTCTTCTTCTCCGTTTCCTAGAGAAGGAGAGAACTTTATACTGTTATATATCTTCCCAGTGGGCGTTTGTACATTGTGTGTGGTATGACCTGGTCAAGTCTCAAGCATCCTTCCATGCCAACCCATAGATTCTGGCGTTGCTTGTGCCTCTTGTCGGACCCAATTCACAAAATTGGAATCATGCTGAAGTGTGCCTGCTATACGAAGTGAGCTGTACGGCAATATACTTGGATACGTACATGGAATAGGCTCATGTCAAACATAAGAGCTATGAGTTGAGATGAGAATATAAGTAGGGTGTCGTGAGAGAATTCCACGGGAAGAGAGTTTCGCGACATCAATAATCCAGTCACATTTAATAAACTTTGTTTTTTTTAATAAACTCAATAGAACCAGTCTGTTAAGGTAGCTTTCTCGAATTTGAGTAAACGGGCTAACCGATGACGATCGGTTATGACGAATCCATTTTTCCAAACAAAGGAAATCGACATTCTAACCTCGACAAACACATTATTCGTCGCGAACAGTATTTTCATCCTCACAACAAAGGAATTGCATTCACTAAAAGTCCCAAATATCTCGCAAAACAAACGCAATGATTCTTTTCACAAATCCCCGAGAGACTAACAAATCGAGGAAAATACATAAACACAGACAAACAAATACAGAAACACAAGTCAGCAAAATGTGTCAAGGATCACGAACCCGAATGACCTGTGGGCACATCCTCATCCACTACGACAGACGCTGCCATAAACGCCATTGCAAAACGATCATAGGCCCAGTTAAGCATCTCAACGACACATGCGCATCCTGCCACCCTACTCACGTGATGATGGAAATCAAAATCAGACATGATGATCTCCGCGCAAAGCTGATGGATAAGCTGCGGCGGTCGACGAGTAAGGTGGAGGTAGCGGAGCTACAGAGGGCGTTGGCCGAGGAGCAGGATTGTAGATCGAAGGAGCTGAGGGCTGCAGATCGGATCCGCTGGAATGGGGTTGTGGATTGGGGGATTGGATCGGAGCTGAGACTTGAATGTGAGGATTAGATCTTCCTTCGCGCATAGGTAATATTACGTTGAATGAATATTTTGCTGAAAATTGTGACAGATCAACAGTATCGCGAACCATGGTCGACGTATTGATGTATTGATAATTGAAGCGACAGATGGAGGGACACTATCGCTGTATCGCCCTAGCACTATCGAGAATCGCAGCCTTGAGGAGCCCGGGATTCTTAGAATTCGAGTGTGCCTTCTTTGGATCACCGCACTCCGCACTGGCTCTCGACACGCCCAGCCGAGCCTTTCTTTCTGCTTCCTGTGATTTCTCCATAGCTCTCTTCGCATCTTTGTACTCTTGCAACTGCCTCTTGCCAAGGGAGCCGTTTCGTCGTCGGTCGTCTGCATTTCGTAGCAGAGGGAGTTGAATGATTGCAGAAAAGGTGTCAAATATCTTCTAAATCGGTTGGCCGTGACGCTGTGCAACCACAGCGAAGGGAAACATTTCCTGACAGGTCTCAGCTATATCAACGATACTGAAGTTTCAAGATTTAGCACGGGATCCCATAAACAAGCCAGGGTTTACATACAGGTTTTGAGCATGCCTGTGCCGGATCCTCTTCCTTAGAGGCTGCTCCTCATCTTCATTCGAAGTCCCAAGCTGTACCTGGTATTGAGAGACAGACGCTGTTGACGGTGTCTGGATTTGCAGGTTGGGGTACGGCCGTTTCGCATTTGAATCGACCTGTCCATTGTTTACGTTTCGGTATCCTCTACAGACCATATTCGACGGGTGAAGGTGGGGCTTCACATGCACCAGTTTCGCCAAAGGATGCGGCTTCATCGCGGACGAAGGCCAAGCTGGTATCGCATATAGTGAAGATCTTCGCAAGACATCAGACATTCCAGTGTTCGTATCTAGAGGTAGCATCTAGCTGCTGTTCGAAGGTAGTTGGGATTGCGGCGCTTTTGTTCCTTGGCGAGGTATTTTTGTCGGAAATGACTTCGAATCATGAGAAGTTGGAGTATTACTGGTGTTTCGAGCTTGTTCATCGCGTAGTATTGTGACATTCTGTGATGACATGTGATCTGAGGCACTTGGGTTAAGGATAAATGAAGACTGAAGACCCGGTGGAGATTCAGACGCCTCCGGTCTTTGGGTAAATACGTCTGTACTTTTCTTCGGTTGGGACTGTAAAGGCCCTTTCGAAATTTGGTGGGCCGAAGATAAATTCCGGTTCAGGTCTTGGGGTAGCAGGGGGGGTTTCGACCGAAAGCCGAAGGTTGAAATGTTATTAGACGTGGAAGGAGGACTGTCACTTTGTGACCGCGAATCTGCCATCGAGTACTCTGGGATCTCGAATTCGGTGCTGTACGGCATACCTGAGCTACGGAGCATGTCCGAGTACGAGAAATTAGAGAACGCATCCTGGATAGGAGATGGGATTGGTGCGCTGATTGTCTTTAGTGATACTAAGAGAGGCTCGTTGCAAGAGTATGATTCTGGTTTCAATTCTACAGAATCTTCTCCATGATAAGAGTTTGGTCTTCGGGTCCCTCCAAAGTGTACACGTCTCCAGCCAGGAGTCATTTTCGGAGTCTGTGACCCGTGTATCGAGTTGGTCCAAGGCTGCGGAGGGATCTGTGATATAACGTTTTCTAGCCCTGAGGTGGGCAGTGGGAGCCGAGAATCTGGAGAAAAGGTACCTGCAGCGTATGCGGTAGGAAGAGACCCGTTTCGTACTGAAACAGCTTTTCCTTCACTCTCTCCAAGATGGCATGACTCCAGGTGTTGGCCCATGCCCGTAGTCCCGCGTCGAAGCAAGTGGTCGGTCTTTGACGTTTCTGGAGCCGTTGCTCCGTCGTGTGTAGTTTGGGGATTGCAGCTGGTATCTGATCCAGGTTGCAAGAATGTAGGCCTTGTAAAGTCGTTAGTAGATGTCGTTCAAGGCCGTTGAAGCTTGCAAACCTTTTGATTTCTTTCCTCCTCCGCCGAGGAGCGCAGGAGATAAATTGCACGTCGGCGTCATACATAACCGACGCTAAGCTTGTACAATTTGAAGCTGACGCTTGATAAAAGAGCTTCTCGCTCTTTCTCTGGACAGTATGAGCCAAGTCCCTCGCTGCGAAATGATTGAGTTAGGGTGTACAGGCAAATTACAATTACTGATAACACCGCTTGGTGGGCTCAGTCACATGCTTGGGGCCATTTAAATCGCATCGGATGAGTGAAAAATAAGAAAAGAAGAGCATTTGACTGTCCTAGGGAGATAGTGCTCTTAAGAGGAGAGCCTGGAAGAAAGGATTAAAGAAATGCATACTGCAATCTCCCGATTGCAATGATAGATCATGATTGTAAGCGTGACATAGCTTGTCCACGGATTGTAGATATGAGAAAGCAAAAGTGTCCCTAGAAAGTCCCACTTGGGAATGTTGCTTGCCATTGGTGAAGAAGAAGGAGAAGAAGCATAGACATAGAAAGCCAAGAGTTTAGAGGATAACCACGTGAGAAAGCTACTGTAACAGGGGCTCCGGCGAACTTTAGGCAGCTTTTGCGCAATCATTACGATAAAGCTCCCCAGCTCAAGGTTAGGCAAACAGTATCAACAAATTGAAGACCCCGCAAACCCCCCCTCGACAACACATTCCTGAAGCCATCGGCACCAGTTTTAGAATCTCGGGCTCCAGACTTTTCACTATGGCGGTCGAGATACCTTTAAATCCTCTCCTCTCCATACAGAAATCCTCGGACAGCGGCCTCCAGGTAGCACTCCATCCGCTGGTACTGCTCACCATTTCCGACTACATTACGAGACATACGCTACGACAGCAGACAGGCCCGATCGTGGGGGCACTTTTGGGGCAACAAAATGGTCGGGAAATTACAATTGAGCATGCCTTTGACTGTCTGCTCGTGGAAGTTGAAGGAGAGATTATCCTTAACCAAGCATGGTTTGAGGAACGACTCCAGCAAAGTCAGTACTTCCAATGTTCAAATATATTTTCTCATGTACTAATATAGTTACTATTTAAAGTGAAGGATGTGCATAAAGTCCCTGCTCTTGATCTCGTTGGCTGGTATACTATTCTGCCGACCTCTGGTCCCCAATCAGTTCATCTCCCACTACACCGTCAGATATTACACTCATACAACGAGTCTGCCATTCTCCTAGGCTTCCACCCAACTGCCGTCCTTGAACGTCAGGCTGGTGGCAAGCTTCCTCTCACCATTTACGAAAGCAACTATGAGGCTGAAGAGGCGGCGACAGATGCTGGAGAAGATAAAGAGATGAAAGATGACGAGCCACAACTCGGCCTGAAATTCAGAGAGCTACCATACAGCGTGGAGACTGGCGAAGCCGAAATGATCAGTGTTGATTTCGTAGCGCGAGGGGGAGGAAATGCAACTGCTGTCGATGGAACGTCAAAGAAGGCAACATCACAAGCATCAACCACTGTAGATGTCAATGGAAAGGGCAAGACCCGAGCTTCTAAGAAGTCGGATTCGGAAGGCGCCGAAACTGCTGCGGAAGCTGCGAAGCAAAACATTCTTACACGCGAAGACGAAGAGCTGATTGCTTCTCTGACGGCCAAGGCGAACGCGATCAAGATGTTGCAGTCACGGATTAACCTAATTGCGGTCTATCTGCAGAACCTCCCCCCATCCTTCGTCTCCGATGCTGTTCCGGAAAGTGTCGAATCAGACAACAAGGAATCTACCCCCGTCAACCACCCAATTCTACGGTCCATTCAAGCCCTACTTACTCGATTGAGCCTACTGGTTCCTGCAGACAGTGCGAGGTTCGAACACGAACTCCTGTCAGAACAGAACGATGTCAATCTAGTCTCACTCCTAAGCACAATCACCAATAGTATTAAGGTGGTTAGGGAGACAGGGAAGAAGTCCTTAGTCGTGGAAACACAGAAGAACATGAAAAACAAAAGTGTAGACAGATCAATGTGGGATCCTTCAGGCAACGGAGTCATGGGTGTTGGTGACCTGCTCGGGTAATCTTGGGTTGATGACCAAAAAGCTGCCGCTGTACAGCGATGCATTTACAAGGCGCAATGAGGGCGAATTGTTTTGGGGGTCGGATACGGCGTTTACTAGCGATCATGATACGTCAAGATGAGAGCATGATAGAGAATGAGGCATTGATAATTAGATTCTACCATGCAATCTTTGGGGGTTTGACATGAAAGCGAAAAGCCAGCGTCCCTCCCGAATGACAATTCTCTTTCATGGACCTTGCTGCCAGCAGCAAATTAACAACTATGCCTCAATGACAACTTTCAAGACCAGCTTTCCGTCATCATCAGAAGTTCTACTGGCCAACTCAAATGCCTTCTTCGCATTATCCAACCCCTTGAATCTATGCGTAACCATATCATCCAAACTAGGCAACTTCATTCCTCCTTTACCAGCAAGGAGTCTAATACCCGTGGGGTAAGTATTGGCATACCTGAAGATACCCAAGATATCCACCTCTCGCAAGTGCGCTGCAGAAAGGGGAACAGTCTGAATCGGCGTGCCCACTATATCACGGGGGAGTTAGTTATTTCCTCTTCAAGAGTGTTTCGAGAGCAGAAGAAGAGCAAGTTCCCTTTTTAGGAAGTATGTAAGGAGTAGTTGGAGTACATGAGACGAGACATGATAGAAGGGGGTAGGGCAAAATCAAAGAGCCAGTTTATCCTTACTGCCGACCATGATGACTTTCCCGCCCGGCTTGGTGGCGTACAAGGCGGTTTGCATGCATGGTTCTTTGCCGGTACACTCGAACGTCACATCGACGCCATCATCCTCGTCCTCTTCCAGAGCAGCCATATCCGGTCTCGCGACGGCCAGGGCATCGGCAGCAACAGCCTTCGCGCCATCGAGACGATAGCTGACACTGCTGTAGCTGGACAGGGGAGTCATGGTGCCGTCGATGGACGCTGGGGTTGAGGTTCCGGATGTGAAGATGGACGATGAGGAGGCGCTGGAGTGCAGCGGTATGGGCACTACGTATCCGTGCGTTGCGAAGCCTTTGGAAATAGCGTATTCCACGCGTCCCTCATCGACGTCCATGATGGTGACTATTGTACAGCCGGATTGCCGGGCCATGGCTGCCACGAGGAGACCTACAGTGCCGGCTCCAATGACTAGTGCAGTAGAACCTGGTACTGGTGAGGCACGGTTCAGGGAATGGATTGCTACCGACAGCGGTTCTAGAAGTGCTGCTGCATCGAAGGAGACATGGTCTGGAATCCTGAACTTGCGGTCAATGGGTAATCCCGAGTTTTGAGATTGAGAGGCTCACTTGTGACACCAGACAGCAGGATGATTTATCCTCTCTTGCAACGTTCCCTGGAAATGCGGGACACTCTTTGCACTACTCCTGAATCTCATTTTCTTGCAAAGGTTATACCGCCCTTTCCTGCAGATGGTACATTGCCCACAGGGAATCCCAACCTCTAGGGCAACTCTGTCGCCCAGCATAAAGCCATTAATCTGAGGCCCAATGCCAACAACTACACCGGAAGATTCATGACCAAGGGAGAGAGGAGCACAGGCACAAAGATCACCGTTGGCGAATTTCTTGTAATAGCTCACATCGGATCCGCATATTCCTGTCGACTTAATCTGGATCTGAAGCTCGCCTGCAGCTGGCTCTTCGACAATTCTAGTTTCCTGATGATTGGTTTAGTCGAAACTATCTCATGTACAATTCTCCAGAAAGAGAAGTATAAGTCTCACGTACCGTGCGGAGGTCGCCTGCCCCATGCAGGACGCTCGCCTGAATTAAGGACGGCTTTGCAGGGAACGCATGGATTGGTAAAGCCAACACCGAAGACTCCACATCGTCAGCGGAAGGAGCCATCTTAGTCAGTGAAATTTACGTTTGTAAGTAGTATCTAAAGACAAGTTTGTGGGGGAGGTGATGGAGGATGCCCCCACGCAGATTGGAGTCCTCATATACATTTCTATCATCGGCCAGCAGTCAATGATTGACAATGTCTTCGAATTGAGTTTGTCAAATAGCGTAGCTTTGAGTTATCAGCTCTAATCTTTGCTAGCAAAAAGAATCCATATTGTTGTCGTGTACTTGCAAGAACCAGGTTCAGGGACTTCGTTTAGTTTTTCCTAAGTGCCTGCAAGCTGCAACAGTTGCAGGAGGACCACATAGCCTCTGATATTTAATCGTCCCAATAGCAGGGCACAGACCTCAATGCTCGTTTTCCAAAAGGTTAAACTTTCCTCAAAACCTGTTACTAATCGCGGCTTCGATGGCACAAGCGTCTTTGATAGGCTGGGATACTCTCCGCGAGCCAGGAGGATGTCTTTTGCCCAATTGCAAATGTATATATTGGAAACACGGCGTGAACGATACCAGCTCGTGATATTGCCGCTCCTCGGAATGACGGGGCTGCACATAAAGGTGTGTAGGATCGAGTCCCAAATTTGCAATTCGAGCACAGAATCCAAGTTAGAAAACGGCGGGTCGCGGAATAAGGAAAGTTACTGATAAAGGTGCATAGAAGTTCTCTTCATCATTGAAGCGCCTCCACCAACCCCGTAATACTAGCAATATTGACAGTACGCAATGCATGATTGGGTGAAATGCGACAGTTATGGGTATAAGTGTCCATAGAGAGTCCTGTTACTTCACGATGCGGCATGAAAGCGGGTGCGGGTGTACCTAGGTACATGATGCGATGCGAAACTTACCTTCATGGTCGCGGAGCGTGCGACCCCGCAGATACTTATCGTAGTAAAAAAGTGGACTGCGCATAGCCTTACTTGGCCAACAAATTGAACGTCTGGATCCTGGCGTGAGGCTACGGGGCAACATCCGCTGTTAGGATCTGACTGGTAAAACCTATAGCAAAATCACGAGCGGAGTAAGGTAGATCCATACTCATTCCACTGAATCGCGACACCTCACACTGCAACTGTACTCTCAATGACGTGGCAGTGGTAAAGAAGACGTTGCATGTGAAGGGGCCAGCATTCTTAGCCGCCGGTAGGAAAAAAGACGAATTGTGCGAGATGTTGCTATCATCTGGCGCTATGAGATTGTCTGTATGTGTATATGCAACAGTTATAAGAAATTGTGGGGGAAGACCTGGTGGACTGAGAATTTCATTGGAACTCGCTCGCGGAGGGTGAACCCGCACTGTCGGTACCGGATAACACGACAATCCATGCTTAGTAGCCGAGCTTACTCGTACTCGTAGAGCCAGCCACACTCACTCCGGGCATGAAGCCGGTCTCGGCCAGAATATGAAGATGGTTCGTTTTATGGAAACATTTACAATAACCGGGATCTTCATGCTCCTCAGTTGCAATCATCCACCTCTGTCATATCCACCCGCATATCTAGAACCGACCAGTCGCTAGAAAGTGCTGGTTGCGAGTCTGGAGGCTGCATTTCTTGCGTCAACTCTGTCCTCATCATCTTCTTCTTTGACACCCTTGAGACCACCGACACTCCCACCACTGAGCGCTCTAGCTCGACCAGGAACCTCTTCATCCTCCCCATTTGCGTCTTCTGCCACGTTTGACATTAAGCTGCCTGATATACTTCTGTTCAGGACGTCAGGCCGTCGAGGAACGCCACTCCATGCATCTCCCTTGGGACCCTGACTAGCCGCAACACTCGCTCGACGAGCTGCAGGGTGCGCCTCGCGACCTAGCCGACTCAAGCCACCGGAAGAATCGATTGCTCGGATATCGGGCCTGATAATTTCTAGGGTAGCCAACGTGCGTCGCTCTGCCTCAATCTCTCGAACCACATACTCTCGGATGCTGAGTCTGAGATCTCCTGCAGTTCTGGAAAACCAGCGTCGTTGCTCCTGCAAGAGGTTCGCTGTGACTCGCTGAGTCTTGCCAGAAAGATAGAGCTCATTGCTTCGTGCTTCGTCCAATGCCGAGATGGCCTCGTCAACCTTTTCCCGTCGAACGGAAGAACTAGCCTTTAACCTGTCTGCTGCATTTAGCTTGCTCCTTGTCAATTGTTGTGCCTGCAGTAGCTCGCGCAGAAGAATGTGTCGATTCGTGAGGGTTTCCTTGACAATGAATGCATCTTGAGAATGGTATTGAAGCGGGTCACCTATAGTTGTAGCCTCCGCAGTACCTTGCGCGGCGTGATAGTCGCCTGTGGTTTGGATGGTCTTGCCAAGTTTTCGGTATGCGTTGGCAAGTCCTGGGTGTGGTTCCTGAACGTTCATGGAACCAAGCTTAACGCCAAAGTCCGACTCTGCAAGTCCCAAACCTGCGACCATTAGAACATGTTCATCACATAGCAGGTAGTAGTTTACCTCTTCGAGCTTTGACGAGCTTGTCAACTTTATGCCCTGCGTCCATAGCATCGAGGTAAAAGAGCTTCACAATTGGTCGTGCGTTCTGCAGCTCTGGTGTATCATCAGGAGGAGGTGCAAATTGTTTTATCACTCTTCTCCGCACACCAGTTGCAGGTTGCTTCCTCTTTAACATCGGGCTATAACCAAAATCGCTCTCCACGAAGAGTACCATCTCATCATCCCTCATCAAGACTTCATTCGTACATACGTAGTTGAACCATCTCTGTAGCGAGGCCTTCACTCGAGCTTCATCTTCATCGGTGCCGGCCCCTGCAGATGTCAACGCAGGAGGGACCGCTGGAACGATAGCTTCTGGATTCGAAGATATTAGGTGGTCCGCAAGCTTTACGAATTCGGAATGGGTTCGGCGGACATCACGGAATTGGGTGGTACGAAACTTTGGAAGATTGGTCTGATAGATCAGCAAATGCCTACAAGGTAAAGATAGTTAAATGTAATTACTCACATGAACGTCGAATCTCAAGATAGGATCTTTTCTCCCAGTCCGCTCGAGACCAGTGATTTTGGCTTGAAGCTTGTATTGTGGAGCTTGTGGTTGCTGCGATTGTCGCGCAGCAGGGTGATACCTCTGAGGCTCGGGGCGATGTTGTTGCGTGTGTTCTTGTGGTATTTGTGTCTTACCTGAGTCGGCTGTACGTCCATCACTTTCAATCACAGATGGTGTCCCAGCACTACTGTCGGGCCTATTGTAGCTTTCTGCGCCCATACTGTCTTCTGGTGAAAAGCTTCCGTTGCCGGCAGGATTCACGCTGTAAGGAGTTGGGGATGGCGGAATGTCAGGAGAAGTTCCATATGAGCTATCTCTCGTATGTCGTGGTGAAGCGGCAGGCGATGAACCCCAGGGAGACGCGGCCGCTGGATTGTCAGCATCATGTATAGAAGCGGAGTAATCCATGGCTGCACGCGTGGAGTATCGAAGGAATCAAATAGTGTCTAGAAGGAAGGCGTTCACGTATAAGGAATAACGTTGGGATGGAGCAGTTGCTGGCCGGTGCAGCCAATTCGAAGGGTATCTCGTAGAAGGAGTTGAATCGAAAGGGCAAGACGAGCTGTGGATGGCCTCAATCTGCACATGCAATTTGAAGTTGGGTTGATCGTCGAAGTCGACAGATCCTGGAGCTTGCTTGGTCAATCAGTCAGCCTTCTTCTCTTGTGAAGGCATCAGCCAACCACCTTTAAGCGCGATAGCCGCTTAGCGAAGAGCTCAAACCTCAAACTTTGGACTCTTTTACTGCGACGAATTTGAAATGTTACAATACATCAGGTGATGTGTTTACTGGGCTTACGAAGAGGCTGTCGGATATGGCCTCGTCGCCTCCTATCTGTTGCTGTTGATATCAATGTGCATGCTCATTGTAGAGGACAACTATGGTTGTCAAAGACTCGCAGAGAATACTCGGCAAGCCACCATGAACCGAGTATTGAAAGAACCCGCAATATTGGCATCATTGCCCATATCGATGCCGTGAGATATCAATCGGTTTTTAATTATAACAAAACCCAAGGTCTAACTGTTTAATAGGGTAAGACAACAACTACTGAGCGTATGCTCTATTATAGTGGCTACACCCGTCGAATAGGAGGTAATGATGAGCCTTCCTATACTTTCCTCAAAGCATGATTTTGTCCATAAATACAGTTGCAATTGATGTTACAATGTTGCCATTTACTCTCACTACGCCTCCAAAGTTGGAGATTTCAAATCTTTAATTCCTGCTCATTTCTAACTTCTGGTCCCTGCAGATGTTGATGAAGGCTCTACTATCACGGATTTCCTCCCAGCAGAGCGAGCTCGAGGTATTACTATCCAGTCTGCCGCTGTAACGCTTGCCTGGCCACCATTTACGAATGAGGTTCCCAAGCCCATCGCCGATGCACCAAAGTCTCACGTGCCACACACAATCAACCTTATCGACACGCCAGGACATGCTGACTTCACTTTTGAGGTCCTTCGATCCTTGAGAATCCTTGACGGAGCAGTATGTATCCTCGATGGCGTTGCTGGAGTCGAAGCCCAAACAGAGAAAGTCTGGGCCCAGGCAAATAATTACAGCATTCCGAGAATTATCTTCGTTAACAAGCTCGATCGAGATGGCGCTGCTTTTGAAAGAACTATCAAACAAATTGGTACGAGACTACGAGGCTGGCCAGCTGTCTGTCAAATTCCTTGGTGGGAAGGAGGCAAGGGCAAGTTTACTGGAGTTGGAGATGCCATCAACCTGTGTGCTTTGAAGTGGAAGGAAGGAGGTGATGGAAAGAGCATTGAGAAGTTCGACCTAAAAGAGCTCATGCAGGAGGACACAGGACTACGAGAGGAAGTATTAAAAGCTAGGAGTGCTCTAGTTGAAGTTCTCTGTGAGTTTGATGAACACCTTCTTACCACTTGGATGGACTGTGGCGATGATGCTCTTGCTGTGCCTGCGCAGGCGATTCGGGACAGCCTGAGACGTTGTACTCTTGATGGCTCTGGGCGGCTCATTCCGGTCTTCGCTGGGGCAAGCTTTAGAAATATCGGAGTGCAGCCGCTTCTTGATGCTGTTGATGACTACCTACCCAACCCAACGGAAAGACCAGATCCTGAGATCAGTCTAGGAAGTCAAAAAGCCAGCCTGCCGGACCTTCTGAGTGGAAAAGTTTCAGCCGCTGCGACTGGCGGCAAACAGGTTATGAAGAAAGGGCACTCTCCGCAGGCGGTAGTTGCCCATATCGCGGCATGTGCCTTAGCCTTCAAAGTGGTTAATGACGCCCGTCGCGGCGTTCTTGTCTACGTTCGTGTCTACTCGGGTTCGATCAAACGGAACACTCCATTATGGAATACATCACTCCATGTAACCGAGCCCGCCCAACGATTACTCCAGATGCAAGCGTCTGATGCCGTCGAGATATCGCATATCCCTGCTGGACAAATTGGTGTGATCGCTGGTTTGAAGCACGCTCGCACAGGAGATACTCTAATCTCCTACCCTGGTGTCAATCCTAAGACTGGTCCACCAGCTCCTCTGAGCACTCTTCAGTTACGGCCGATAGATGTTCCCCCGCCGGTATTTTTCGCTGCAATCGAACCACACAGTCTTAGCGAGGAGAAGAATGTTAAAGATCTTCTTCAATTAATGCTCCGAGAAGATCCAAGTCTCCATGTCAACGTTGACGAAGAGTCGGGGCAAATGCTACTGAGCGGGATGGGAGAACTCCATCTTGAGATCGCTCGAGATCGACTTGTCAATGACTTCAAAGCCAAGGTAACAATGGGCAACATCGAAATCAGCTATCGCGAATGTGTTCTGTCCCCGACATCTGCCAACCGGGTTCTTTTCGATCGAGAAGTTGCTGGAAAGAAAGGCAAGGCCGCATGTGAAGCTTCCATCGAGCCATTCAACGAATTTTCAACGCCATCCAACCACACCGTCGAGCGTGATGGAAACCATATCACAGTCCGATTACCAAATTCCTGGGAAGAAGGCACTTCTGAAGGCCAGACTCTACCTCTAGATCTGCCATTGGCGCTGTTACAGTCAGCATTGATCAATGGAGCAGCCGCTGCTTTGGCAAGAGGTCCTCGACGCGCCTTCCCTCTTCACTCCAATCACGTGATCTTAAAATTTGATCCCGTGTCCGATATCTTCGGCTCTGACACCTCGCCTGCCGCTCTTTCCTCCGCCTCCAGACTCGCCGTCAAAGCAGCTCTCGAAGAAGCATTTGCAAACGACTCGATCGGGCTCATGGAGCCTGTCATGAATGTAGTCATCAGTTGCAATGAAGGAACCCTCGGTGCCATCGTCCACGATCTATCCTCTGCTCGCGGCGGACATGTTCTCTCACTCGAGAACGATGGAAACGAAGATTCATCTTCTGATAATCCTTCCATCGATGTGAACCGAATATACGCTCCGCCCGATCCATTTGCATCCAGCGGCAGCACTAATGCAGCCGGGCCAGGCCAGCAGCGACAGGTGACAGCGAGGGTGCCGTTAAAGGAGATGGTGGGATACTTGAAGCATTTGCGAAGTTTAACGGGCGGGCGGGGGACTTTTGTCATGAGTGTCGATAAGTTTGAACGGCTTTCAGGGCCGAGGGAGAAGGCGGTGTAAGATATTGGATGGAGTTTAAAGGGCACATGTATGATTAGAAAAGTTTGTCACAACCTACTGCTTCTAAATAAGCGAGCGAAATGGATGAACAGGAGCGCATCTTACAGAGTTTCTTTGATTATTGACTTCACGATAAGCTGTTGTAACATCTCACATGATTTCCCGATGACCGGATAGCTGTGATCCGACAAAGGTCAATTTACACAAAAGGGGTTCACTCGCTTAATTCTTAACGACATACAACTCAAGCCAGAACCAATAAAAACAGAAACAAGAACCCCAAAAGAAATGGCCAAAAATGACAAAAATCTTAAGAAGAAAAAAAATAAGAGCCCCCATATAACCCACAAGGTTTGACCTAGCATTTCTGCACAAGCGTCCTCACTTTCGGAGGAACTGCATCGCCTGTGACCGCAAGGCCGATGGAACGAACCAGTCCCTGAAAAAACTCAGATAATGTTAGAGGTGAACGTTAACAAGATCTTACAAAGCCGATACCTCTATCGTGCTTAAATGGACTCTTTATCTCTACTATAATAGAGGAGAACAGTACTGCTGGAGACCTATATGACAATATTAGATACTCATTCTACTGCTTTACGAACAGGGCCGTTGCACCACGCCATTCATGCTTCAGCTCAGATATCATGCTCGATTTTTGCTTATTTTAGATTACATACCCTGAGGGTGTACGACAGATCAACTCAAATATTTATTACTAGACGCAGCTAATCAGAATTTGTATATTCACACTAAATACCACGCCAGTCGTTCCCTACCCCTGCACCCATCTACGAAGATTATATAACCCAGACTTGACGTCTGTTCGAGAATACTTAGATCACCACAAGTCTTGCAATCGGCAGGTATTATAGTTGAGTAGGACGAGTTGTCTTATGGAGTAGATCAGTTTTTGGAGCGAGGTTAGCAATTATTTGCACGGAGTACATTTTTGTGGAGATGTAGGAAAACATGATAGAAGTGTATAAAGTTGAGTTCCAAGAGGGAGGCAAGGCCAAAGGAGGCATAGGTGACGAGGACGGCCTCAATCCTGGGTATGCTTTACGGGGCTCTATGGAGATGTTTAGTTTACTTGAACTGAGTATCACCGATCCATCTATTTCCTGGAAGATCAAATAACTGGTTTATTTGAGTTGGCAAAAAGATCTAATCCCATACATTTGAATGGAGTGTATTATGATCAAGACTATAGATCAAGCCACAGTGAGCATGCCAATTTGCCATATAATTTTCGAGCTTTTAACTACTATAGTGAGTTGCGCTAAATTGGCATTGGGAAATGATGCAGCACTTATCGTGGCAGTTGACGAGAACTTGAGCACCAAGCACGGACCGGATGGGTTAGTTTTGAGAGGAATGCATTTTCGACATAGTCAGCGCGCTCAAACTAGTTGTCAGTAGCAACAAGGTACTAGGATTATTGCCGGTTCTGTGATCAGGAAATGTGAATAGAGATAGATGCCGGGGGGGTTGTTTACCCGCAGCGTCTAATTGAATAAATAGTAAACAAAAATATTCGGCGCACCCCAAGTTCAATCTACTTCCTCGCCGACAATCATATCAATCAACAAAGCCTCATTGCTAACCCCACGAAGCGTATGAGCGTTGTCAACGCAATCTAATCGGTGCATTGAAGATGGTGTTTTCCAAGGCCACCCAAGCGGCTGCCCAAGGCCTGACAAGCGCCGCCACAAAAAGAGCAAAAAAGGATTTGAAGAAGGCTGCGCAGGAAAACGAACTAAATTGCGACATCCGAACAGAAGATTTGGAAGCAAAGCAACAGGTCTTCTTGGCATACAATCAAGTGTTCACCGGCGATAATGCGAGAGCGAGGTCCCACATGAGTGTCAGCTACCTTGTCGAGAAGCACTTTGGGCGCCAGAAACATATCACAGGCAGCCTAGAGTTCGAGAATGTCGTTCGGCTTACGAGGAGTATCTTGGTTGCAGGTTGGATGGAGCCGGGGTCTAAGCAAAGACAGAAACTTAAGCAGCTCACCGACTCGGAGAGAGGAAGCAATGAAGTTAGCAGCATCACCGACGCTCATACTGCCAGTCTATCAGCTGTCCAAACTCTTTTTCATCAAGTGAAGGACTATCTTGCTCCATACCACTATTTATATTGGGTTCCAGTTCATCTGCCTCCCAAAATTCAGCACAAACTTTTAACTAGCTTGGTAAGACAATTGAACACCCCAGACGTTCAAATCATTCTTGATTATATTGCTGACACGGATTATTCACAGCAAGAGAAATTAGAGCAATGCTGCTTTCGATACTTCAAGAACAACTTCCCCGAGATTCTGGAGGAGCGAGGCTGGGAAGACGATGCTGATGGCGAGCTGAATCTCTACAGCAGGATAGTATGCACGCGCGACGTATCTTCTAGCGCTATCTACAGCCACAAGAGTCTTGCGAAACTCTTCGGTAGACTTTCAAACATCCGGCACGCAGCCGTACATCGACCTAAGAATCTCCCGGTGCAGGTTCTTGCAGGTATGTCGGAAGATGCTCTATCATTGGCGAGGGTCTTTCGTGACAGAGAGCTAGTAGTAAAACTACAACCATGGTATGACTGTGTTCAATAATTGTCTCAAGATGCAATGAAGCATTCTCAAGAGCACAAAACCAACGTGAAGCTAGTCAAGGACCAAATGCGACAACTTCAGCGGCACCTATCAAACGCAAAAGAAAAGCTTAGAACCTCACAGCGGCCCACAGACGCGAATTACCAGTATATACTGGAAGAGTTAGAGGGCTTCGAGGCAGCCTTGCGAATGGATATATCAAAGTTTGAGAGGGGCCGCTATGCAATTGACGTGAATGATTTACTGGACCTGGCGGAACTCTTGGAGTATGACTACAACCACTACCATGGAGAATCTTTCAGCCAAACATACTCTGGTCCCACCTTCCAAAATTTGAAGTATAATCTGAGAGACTGGGAGGAAAGGTTGGACGATCAGCTGTTTGAGCTGACACAAACGAGGATTCGGAGCGGAAATTTCAAGAGCTTCGACAAGAAAGAGACGCGCGAAAGCACATCGAAGTCCATGTTGGACCGCAGCAGGGAAGGACACCAAATAAGAAACATAAGTGAGGACTCAGATACCACATATAGCCCAGTCACCGAACAATCGCCAGGAATACGACCAAACGACATTTCAGAACCACCAAAGCGCGTCCATGATGCAGCTTTTGGAGAAAGCGAAGATGAACAAGGTGAGAAGATGCGACCAGCAAGAAAGCGCCAAAGCACGGACAACGATTTTGCGAAAATATCGAAAGACGAGTTCGACATCGCTGTGATAGAAGCTCAGCATTGTAAGCCCATACTGGGAAGCACTGAGGTTATCGGAGAGAATTCAAAGAGAGAGGCAATCTTGGCTCAGAAACAAACTGAAATTACAACGGAAACGCAGCAAGGTATCATCGCAACAACGTCGAACACAATCGAAAGAGGTCTTAAGATCAAGCGAGCAAACACACTCGAGACAGAGACCACTCTCAAAGAAGGCTCGGCCATGATCACTGCTCCCAACAAATTAGTCATTGCCGGGAAGATGTCGTATCTACCCAGAAGGAAACTACAACCAGGGGAGTAGGCGCATTGGAGAACATCGATACAGTCAGAGAGAAAAGTGGTGAAGTAAAGTCTGAGACCGGAGGGTCCTTGCAGACCGACATGTCGGAATTCGAGGACGATTAGAATAGCGGATCGTCGGCGACGGAGCTCGATCAAATGTATTCGTAGTTGACGTCTCAGGAGACGTGAGAATGTCAGCGTACGCAATTGGCCGGCCGAGTAGTCGTTCTCAGTTTCAGGAAAGAAACAAAGTACATAGGAAGAGCCAAAACGTTGGGTACCAAAGACGCATAGCCTCTGCAGATATAACGGATTTTCCCCCAATGTAGCAAAAAACCATGTCTATCTCATGTGAATAGAAAAGCAGACGTTGGTAGCGGAAGCTGAAGAAGGAACTGTCATTGTGACTTCCGGCGTGAATAGATAGTCCTGGGAGCTGATATCTAGTCAATAGAAATAAAATAGATTCACGGAAGGCAAGGCAATTGCAAGGGGGTTCTTCTTGTATCGCGTTCTTTCTTGCAAAAGGGTACATGCACTAGTCCTCCTTTCGTTACATACAGCCTTATTCATCTTCCGCATCTGAAAGAACGACCAAAGCGCAATTTGGTATACAATGTTCCTTCTTTTAAAAACCCGATCTACCTTTGCAAGTAATCATCCTTCCGCCTGAACTCCAATTCATAAGAAACAATGGCGAGTCAAGTCCCAGCTCGAATGCTCGAAGAATGCTATCCGCAGAAGCATCCAGCTAGTCGTCAATTGTAAGATCAATGAAGTTCGCAGGGGCTGACCGCCTTGTGTAAGCAATTTTAGTGATAGCAGTGGTCGCTTCGTTATCTGAATCTGCTGTAAGATCGACGAAGTCACCAGTTGAACGTCGATGGTTTGCAGTTCTTATGCTAGGTGTCCGGACAGCTTTTTCTCGCACACGGTAGGTTTTACTTGCTACGTTTGTTGGGCTTCGAGATCGGCGGCTTGATTGAGGTCGTAGGTTTTCGGGGGCAGATTGTCTTCGAGGAGGGGGCGCTGACACTATAGGTTTGGCGGGTAATGAGAGGCGATGCTGAGGGGGTGGGTTAGAGAGACGTCGGTCCAAGCAAGCTAAGGTTGTCATTTGGTGATCGTCCACCGATGTACCTAGACTAGATCCTTCTTTAGGAACACGACTAAAGACGAATATGGGAAATTCATTGAGAGTTGCTGTGATAACTGTCCCTAATGCATTCATGTCATCTTTTTGAAGTGCTTCAGACATCTTCTGGAGCCTATTGCAACGCAAGTCATCGCGGAGTCCAACAATGGCGATGGCATCTACCATCATCCGTTTAAGGATATCAACGGGCGTCTCTACTCTGTGAACCGCAGCGTGTCGAAGCTGTGATAGGCGGACGAACGGTGCTTCGACATTTAGATCTGGGGGAAAAGCGGTCGAACTGGCCGGGATCTTTTCTCGTTGTACGGCTCGCCACCACTCGCTGAGTTCGCCATCCTGGGGTACCTTCCACTTTTTCTGTTTCAATACATGCGGAATCCACCGCTGCGCATAGTAGAAACATGCCTGTTCCAGCAGGGTCTGCGTAGTATTCAACACACCATGCCGGTATTCGGGCTCAAGAACCAAGCGTGGATTTATAGGCTCGAGGAAGTCTTTTCGATATGGATTCTCGGGTGGCCACCCGGCTGAAGTAATTTTTATCATAGGTTTTGGCATTAACTGCCTCGACATTGCTGCGATATGCGATCGGTCACTGGGCTGAACCCACGCTGCGTGAGACATGATTAGAGAGAGAAAATGTCAGGCTACGAAGGCGTCGTTGTAGCAAGTTGACGACGCCTTCTCGAGTGAATTGAATTGGCTTGCAACATGTGGAGGGAAAACTTACGAAGTGTTTGGTAAATGGTGCACTGTGTGTGTGGAACTCTTAAAAGACCAAAGATCTAAAAGTAGACAGTTACAGAAAACGACTTTGACTCTCAATGCACAGGCATCAGTGCAGTAGCATTGACAGCAGACTTGTGGTATGTAACGTGGATTGAATTTGTATGAATCTGGAGGCAAGGTTGAAGTTGAAGTGGAAGTGGAATTTGCGATGTTTACCTTTATCCTAGTTGCGCCTGGTACCTCTTTCCTCTCGATTAAGCGAGGGAGCCGACACGCGCCTACCTCTACCAATTCACTCACGCACCTGACTAACCACTATACACTTTCTCGAGACATAGCTTCAGAACATAATCTTTGTTTTGCCATGTCCACTTGTTTCTTTGCAAGCATTAGATGTCCGCAACTTCACTGGCTCATACCCACACCCCGCACAAGGACGGAATGAGATGGGATGCACACTCTCAGTGCTGTGGGGTCTCTATATCTTTGTCATGAGCAAAGGAGAACTTTGTTTATTCTCTCCGTAGAGCACCTACGTTAAAGCTCGCCCCTCACATGCATTGCTGGAGCGAATCAGAATGTCATGTCCATTCACGAGAGAGCAAAATATCATCTCCCATCTCCTCTTGAGGAAGGAATCTTCGGAGTTGAAGCATTCAATATAGGGACTATGGTACCATGAAACACAAGACAACACCAGGGGACGTGGGGTCCGCGAACTTGTACTTACCGAGTGGTCAACCTCTTCAAGCATTTTTTATTCTTCAAATTGTCTTCCGATGTCTTGTCTTGTTAGGCTCTTGCTTTGGAAGTCTGATTCCTACCTTATTTTCCGGATTTTGATGACAGTTGCCAGCCCTTCGCCAAAGGAGAGAATGGCTTTCAGAGAGCTGTCCCGCACTGCAACGAGGTCCACGCTGACTACGGTTTTGGTAATATAAAGTATGAGCCGAGGTTCTAGAACTTAGGAAAACAAGACCTTGCCGACCTGAAAACACTACGGGCCGGATGCTTCGAATATAACCTGGCAGTGGGAGAAGGTGCGATAAGGTTAAGAGCCTTGGCGATGCACGCTCACACATCAGGATGTGGGGGTTAGTATTAGTAAGCGCTGTGGGTGTGGCGTGGATCATGACATGAATCCTTCGGATGTGGAATATATATTGTCCGATCGAGTAGAACGCTTGATTCTTGAGCTTGTCTTATCTGATTGTTTTTGTGGCTGACAGCGCGGCACTGCTTGTTAATTCTGTTCCTGTAACTGCCGACGTGGAGGTTCCACTACATCCACCCTTCAAGACTGTGCTCTTCCTTCCTTTCTAAGACTCAACCCACGAAAAACTACTACTGTCATCTGCTTTTGGACCTCGCTCATCTGGACAGCAGTCCCCTGGTGTCCCTACGGTCGGGGCATGGCATGGCACTTGCAAGGTAATTAACGAAGACCTGCAACGCAGGCTGCAGAGCTGACAGCTTGAACAGGGCGTCTTCAACAAACCCTGCCATATCGAGTCATGACCTTTTTAGTTGGTGGTCCAGAAGCATCGCTTTCTAGGAATTAGTCCCTGAATTCCACCACGTTTATATCGGGGTTCGAGCCTGCGGTATGAGTCGGCAACCATTGTATTGCCAATACCAGACGTTACAACGATGTGATCCGTAAATCCCAAGTCGAGAGTGGATATAGTACCACCGCTGTGGGAGCAATTTGCTTGTATATTGTGTACTGCTCACAATAGAAACAGAGTTTGCAGCTTAGCTTCCAAGACATGGACAAGAACTAGGGTCACCTAGCCTAGTCAATGCTCCCAGGCTGCGTTCAGGCAGTTGCCGAACTCGTTTACAGCCTCAGGGAACGTATTCGAAACTACATTCCTAATCACCTATCCAGTTAATTCCCGATCAGGAAGGTTTTATGGCGTTTTCTTTTCGTAATTATCAGTCATCATTTTGTCATTCACCACAAGTCTGAAGCTGTGTGATCGTTCTTTGGGTTTTACCCATAGTAATTGCTGCACCTGCTCGAAGAAGGCTCCTCAGTTTCCCTGGAGAGATATATCGCCTACTGTAAAGCCCTCAGCTTCCGTGACCTCAAACATTGGCTTGATAAGGATACGCTTGGCAGTAGCATGTGCGTTTACCCTTCCATTCCTTGACATAATGGAATGCACACTGTTCTTTGTCGTGTTATCGGGGTAGGAGTCTATCTTGATCAATGACGAGATTTAGTGGCCGGGCTTTAAACCTTAAAAGAACGTCGACAGCTGAGTTGCTGTTATAAACTATATCTACCTTTCGTCCCTCATTCATATCATGTACATTCAGTTCAAGGTTTCCAGTCAACCAAAATGTCTTCCAACTTTCCAGTTCGATCCGCTCCAAGTAGCAACTCAACTGCTATTGATGCTGCTGCTGCTGCTGCTGCTGCTGCAACAAAGAAATCAATGGCAGTGCGGGCTGTGCAGCTACGGAACAATGAGAAAACTGCTAAGTACTATGCTGCTGCCATGGCAGGACTTATAATGGTATTCACATTATTCCACTGGAGTCGGTTCCTCTATAGTCGATATGCGACCAAAGGCCTGAGGAAGTCGAAGTTCATGAAGGCTCAGGTCTCGTTAGCAAGGTAGGTGCTCCTATAGTTCGTTGGAAAAACCTTCTGCTAATCTGATTTATTTTAAGGCTGTTTCGACATTTTCTCAACCGTGGAGTTCCTGGTTTTACATCTCTTGGTCATGCTCTCTTGGTGGCCATTTACCTTGCGATTAATATCATCTTGACGGTCACAAACAACGACTTTCATATTATATCAGTCGGAAAGCGACTTGGATGGTATAGATAATTCAATTTCCTATTATAGATTATGTGAACTGAATTGTCACAGGTTATCAATTCTAAATGTTTGTTTCATCACATTTTTAGCATTGAAGAATACCCCGCTTGCATTTTTGACGGCATATTCATATGAGAGCCTGAACCCACTTCATCAAATTGGCGGATACACAGCCATTATCTGTGCGTATCTTCATGTCATACTACAATGTGTATACTTCCACCAGGAGAACATGCTCTCGGAGTTGCGGGAAACAGAACAATTCTATGGTATGACAGCTGTCGCTGCCTTTTTCGTTATTCTCGTTACGGCTATAGCTGTACGGAAATTGAGATATGAACTCTTTTATATTATTCATATTACAATGTATATGCTCATCATCGTCATGATCGCATTGCATCGGCCGGAATTTGCGACGAAGACTGTTATCATTACTATTGTCGCCGGTTCAATGTGGGGTTTGGATCGTATGCTTCGTGGATCGAGGATCCTCTACAACAGCCTCAATAACCACGCTACGTTACATCCTTTACCCAATGGCGGAACAAGGATTGTGCTGCGTCGCTCTCCATCTCGGACAGTACCTGGAACTCATTGCTTCCTATGGATTCCTAAGATTCGTCTCATTGAAACCCACCCCTTTACAATTGTCAACGCGAGTCCTAAATCACTTGACCTAGTCATTGCTGCCTACGACGGCTTTACTAATGATCTTCATCAATACGCAGTCAAACGTCCTGGTGTATCTCTTCGTGCTTCCATCGACGGACCCTACGGCGCGCTTCCAAACTTTGCAAAGGTCGCGGACAAAGTTATCCTTATTGCTGGAGGAAGCGGAGCTTCGTTTACCTTTGGTGTTGCGTTGGACATGATCAAAAAAGTCTCAGATTCAAGCAACCTCAGCATAGATTTCATCTGGACAGTCAGAGAACAAGGTAGATCCCCACCTCCACCATTATCACTTGCCTGCTGACCCCAAACACAGAAAATCTATCCTGGTTCCGCGAAGAACTCAACGAACTCCAAAGTAGCCCCCGCGTCAGGCTATTCCTCCACTCAACCCGGCCCTCACCCCCAACCCAATCTCCCAATGACAGCGTCAGCGAACCCCCATCACCCCTCACATCCCGCGCCTACAGCGAGAAGTCGCCTTTCCCGCCCTCCCAGACCGCCAGATCATCAAGCACGAGCACCAGCCAAGAAACCCCCGACACCGACCTTGAAGGGAACAAGCGGTCAATGGCTACCACTCCATGGGATTCCTCAGTATCACTCAACGTAGCGCACGGCCGACCGGATATCAATGCTCTGATCCGAGATGTCGTCGCGAAGGCGGATCGCAAGGAGAGGATTACGATTGCGGCGTGCGGGCCGGATGATTTGATGGGGACTGTTAGGCGTACTGCGGCTGATTGTATTAGTGTTTCGGGAGCGAGTATTGAGCTGCATTGCGAGCAGTTTGGGTGGTGATTTGGCATGGAAGTTTTCAGGGGACTTAGATATGTATTTACTTGTTTCGGTGTATATGGAAGACTGGGGATGGTGTAAATGGAGTCAGCTGTGTAGTGTTATAGGGATGTTTGGCGACTTTGGTAGGCTTAGATGGGCGGAACAATACTTTACATTTTTGATATTGAATTTTATTTACATTATGATCAATTTGTAATATTCTCGTGTTGACTGACTGTTTCATTACTACTATTTTCGTTATTCCATTATTGTGCTGTACGAGTCAAAGACTATGTAACACATTTGGGTCCTTTCCGCCCAAGCCAGATATCTAATCCTCAGATAGTATATCCTCTCTACTATATAACTTCTCGACTGACTGTTTCATTTCGCCCACTGTTCGTCCGTGTATTTATTTTACATATCCACAGGATCACGCCGTGCCAAAGTATATCCTACATGTCTGTCTCCCTAGTGTCCTAGCTCAAATAAATTACGGTGGCCCGATCCACTAGATACTCGTTCCTCACTTGCTAATTCTGCGACATTTCTTTCGGGGTCCCCGGAACTATAACCGTCAAGCAACGACTCGGGTTTGACTTAGAAAGTTAGAATAAGGATTAGTGGTCGGCGGGTTTAGACGGCGAGAATGGCGCAGCGGACAAAGTCGCGATCGACAGTCGGTTATCAGATATGGAAACACACGCTTCTGAAGGAATTGATCTGCAGCTCAAGCATACCCCCTTAATAAAGAGCATTTGTGGGTCAAATCCCCATAATACGTAGAAATCTATAGAACTGAATGGCTAGAGCCCTTGCTGATGGCCCGTGCTAGCCCTAAAGGGTACTTGTAAGGTCCTTGTAAGGTCCTACTAAGCCCATAGACGTAGTGATATCATTGGCTTAGCCCCCTTGTATTTACGGTAGAGAAACCCACAAATGCTCTTTATTAAGGGGGGGGGGGGGGGGGGGTAGAGAGAATCAGAATCATCATCGCTAGCCTCGTCGTCATCGACCTCTGAGTCTGGCTCCTCCTCTACATCGCCCTAATCATGTCCCGGTCGGAAAATCGAGACTTGAGCAGTATTGATCTAAAGGATGCACATACTCTTGGGTCTGATGCATTTTGCGAAGTCGAATAGCGGTTTTGGTGGAAGTTTAGAAGAATGTGGTCAAGCGAAGAAATGGCGGTGTCATCTATAATGACTCTGGGCTTTGAGGCAGCTTCCTTATCAGAAGTGCGTTAGCTTATGTTCTGTTGGTGAGCTCATAGTTTGAAAGGTTTGATTACTCACGATTTCACAGATCAGGGATGCCTGTTTCGCTCTTTCCTCAGACAGCTGCCTCTCCAAGTCAGAAATCTTATCTCTGGTGGCTTGCAACTGTGCTGATGTCTGACCCTTGGTAAGCTCTTAATCTACTGGAAGCAGCTGCGATAGAACTTTATTCCACTTCGACAGTTCTTCCGTTCGTTCCTCATCGCGGAGTCCTTTGGTTATAGATATTGCATCTTGGAGCATTTCGTGCAATGCTATGACCGGGACCTTATTAGTACCATGAACACCACCATGCCTCACAGAAGGAATTCGACTAAACAGTTCCAAAAGAGGTTGGTCCAAATCGAGAGCTTCGCGTGGAACTTTACACTTCATCACCATCGTCTGCCATCAATGCAATTCAAGATGGCCGACATGACTCAACCCTCTAGCTTCAATGATATATGGCCACCAAGTTTGCGTGAAAACATAGCATGCTTTTTCGAGAACGGCTTTCATACCAGTTAGTATCAGGTGCTCGGTTTCGGAAGGAAGATACTGGTGGTATGAAGTGTGGTGATATTTCGGTGTATAGGGTCCAAGTCAAAAGCTAGCAACAAGTGTATCCTTTCCGGGAATTTGTGGCAAAGCTACTGTTGTGACCAGTTGTCAGCATATAGTATTTTGCATGCACGTAGAATAGAATCTTCTCACCCGAGTTGTTTTTATATGCAATCCTTTTTGTGGAGGTTGATACAACTCTCTTTGCCTTCCCATCTCGCCAGCCGTCCCTTGCGTTCTGCTGCCTTTGCTTGCTTTCTCGTCTTGAACCTCGGTTGTTCAATTACAGGATTGGATAGATAAGTTGATCCTAGAGCAAGATCCCTGGCTCTATTGCAACTGGAGCGCCATGCTTTTCCGTGCACACATACCTGCTGCTCGTTTAATGAGTGTGTTAACATGTTGACACTCGTCTTACTGGTGGACGACTCAGAAGTACTGACGAATCATAGAGAGCGAAACCATGCGTGCTCCTGGGCATTCTTGATGGGAAATCTTTATTTGGGTTCCAACGTGTCTTTCAGCGACTCCTTGTCGCTCTTCTCGTAATCCAAGCTGTCTATCATATTGTCAATTATTTCTGGTCCATCATTGCAATCCGCAACATCTCGCCGAGTAATGTCCACATCTGCAGCAACTTCCCAGAATTGGTAGCGCAAAACGGTATTCAACTCCTCGTTTCTTGCATTTTTGGCATTTTGAAAATTGCAACATGGTAGAATTATTAATCAGTTATCTGATTCCTTGACTAGTCGCTCGAGTTGTTTAAATGCTGCTTTAGGAGCTTCAAGATCATGGCCTAGGAACAAGAACGCCGGCCGAGGTGAATTATCTTCCCATTCAAAGAGAATTCCTCTACTTATCAAAGCGTTTTCGATTTTGTCCTGAATATTTCCAACATCGCCCTTGTTAAAGGACGCCGTTTCCATCTCAGCACCTTGGGGAAAGCCTCTGAAAGTGAAGCTGCGTACACTTCCATTCATCATCCGTGAAGAAGGAGGGTAGGAGTGACCCTAATATCATTTCCGAATAATGTAGCAACGATGCGAGGTAAAGTCATGGCTTCGATGGGAAGTATTCACGTTTCCGAATCTCTTGCTTTGGGCATAGTCAATAACAAGCATCGATTGACTTTAAAAGCCATGAATAAAAACAATGTAGGCAAAGAACAGACAAGCCTTAACTGAAAGTGTTTCCTTTGCGGTTCGTTCTCGACATGGTAGTACCGGCAATCTGGTCCGATCTAGATATCGCCCCCTGGCACTATACGGAGGGTAATCATCCGGATTACATACTAGCGCCATGCAATCAAGTTGGCATACGGACTGAGTACCGTAATTCATAAACCAAGAATTCCGTGAATCCGGAAAGTTTCAATCACACTTTTGATCCTGGCTCCTACAGTAATCTTAAAAGCTTGTGGTGGGGTTGAATGCAGTCACGTGTACATCTTCGTTTCAGGCCATTCTTGGATTTAGGCTGGGCAGCTAGCGTCGTCTTTCAACGACATCTGCCTTTTATAGGTCTTTATACCTAGGTATGTATCTTGACATCCACTTCCTTCATTCCCCAAAACAGATGTGGAATGCCTACAGATAGACAACTTTCTCCTCTCTGAAGTTAAAGTCAGATGTGTTTCACGCGATCATAGTCAACCCCGCAATGTCATTTCCCTCGTACAACGGAGATTGCAAGGGCCAAGCCCAAGTTTCCACCTCTCGGATTCCTTCCTTTCTATAGCAGGAGTGCATCTACTCTGTAAGCCGCCCACCACAGTCTTAGCTGAGGCTTCAAATACATTAATTATGGGATTTAAGTCTCCCGCTACGGCAAAGCACGTTTGTTCATTTTCTTCTTAACTGTGTTCTACTTTCATTGTTTTCCTAATATTTTCCCATCGTTCTTCTTTTCATCAAATCTTTTCAGCAACCAAGAAGCTTCAGTCTTCATCCACTCTTTACTTTCAATTCTTCGCACAAACCACTCATTTATCATGCATTTTTCATCTGCTTTGGCCATTCCGGCCTTCTTGACCCTGGCAAATGCTGCAGTCCTTGGGAAACGAGCACTCTCAGGACAAGCAACCTATTATGGCGGAAATGTTGCGGGCGGAGCCTGCTCATTTTCGACCTACACACTCCCTTCCAATATCTTCGGCACTGCTCTATCAGATTCGAACTGGGACACCAGCGCCAATTGTGGAGCATGCGTATCGGTGACAGGCCCCGATGGAAATTCCATCACTGCAATGGTACTTACCCCTCCTTCCCTTTATGAGCTCTTTTAATTGACCTCTTTCTAGATCGTTGATGAATGTCCCGGCTGCGGCACGAACCACCTGGATCTCTTTCCCACTGCGTTCTCCACGCTCGCCACTCCCAGCACAGGTGTCATTGATGTTACATGGTCATATGTCGATTGCCCCATCACCTCGCCTCTGCAGGTGCACAACAAGGAAGGCGTTTCCAAATACTGGTTTAGTATGCAAGTCGTCAATGCCAACAAAGCAGTCTCCAAGCTCGAAGTTAGCACGGATGGTGGAAGTACTTGGCAAGCAACTACCAGAATGGATTACAATTTCTTTGAGAACTCAAGCGGCTTTGGCACCGACAGTGTGGATGTTAAGGTCACAAGTTCGGCTGGCGATGTGGTTATTATTAACGATGTGGCCATCACTGCCGGGTCTGTAGTGACGGCCGGCAGTAACTTTGGATCCTCGGCGAGCACTGCCGCTACGAGCTCCGCTGTAGTCGCAGCAGTCGTGGCTGCTTCTTCCTCAGCTGCATCATCTACAACTTCAATTGCTGTCGTCTCCACGTCAGCCTTGGCCACCCCTTCTTCAGTAGCACCTTCTACAACATCTATTGCTCTTGTGTCGACACCAGCAGCGATCATTGAAGCTACATCAGCATCCAGTGCACCAACTACCATCGTTCCTACGGCAAGCCCGTCCACATCTACATATTCATCTTCTCCGACCTTATCTTTTGCGCCAGAGCCTACATACGCCGATGAAGATGCCTGCCAATGGTAGATCTGGAGTGATATAGGAGTCTGGAGAAAAGGCCACGTTCATGTATATAAATGACATTCGATTCTCCAATGATAGATTTGTCGCTTTAGAAATTCAATGCCCATAGTGGCGATTATTTTGGCCGATAATTTTGCATTGATTCGATAAAACATAGTGCTTCAAATACTCGTAATATTGAATACATGTCCATCATAGAGATAGAACCGAAATTTTGAAATTACACTTATATTCAAAAGACTACGTTCTACGGTAGATTATTTGACCAACACTTAGTTTACAAATGCAAGGTTCTGTCACGGCGGCTGAAATACGGCCGAGGTCTATAGAATTCATCAAATTCTCGAGAATGACAGGAAACCTGCCTAGCATATTCCTACGAACCAAACGCCGCTCACATCCGTACAAAAGATCATCCTGACCAGCTAATCTCCCCCCAAATCCGCAATAGTTCCCAGCTTCTTTCCTACAGATGTCCCTGCGCCAGTCCTCTTATCAACTTTTCCTCCCGGCACATTCCTCGAAGCACCGCTCGCACGTCCCGCCAGTCTCGGGTCTCTGTAGATATTGAAATAGCTGTCCTCTGCAGCTTTGTAAGCATCGAAGCTGAACAAACTGACCAGGTACAGTCCCAAAAATGCGGCGATGGCATCAACATATCGCCTCCAGTCGAACGGTCGTCTTAACGATGTGCCGCGGGAGGGTGCTCCACCAAGCGTGCGGCCTTGCGTAGAGAAGACGGGAGGTGCGATGGGACCGGCGAGCTTGACGGCGTTTTCGATGGCGGTCGTGAGGCCACGGGTATCGGCGCCTTTGATGGTATTTATTACGCTGCCATTGCGGAAGATGAGGAAGGTTGGCATGCTGTATTTGTAGTGTTAATGAGGGCTCGGGGGATGAGGGGGATAGACATAAGACATACGCTGAAACTCCATACTGCTGGGCGATTTCCTGTTGATTATCGACATTTACTTTGGTGAAAGTGATACGGTTCGGCTTGGAGTATTTCGTAGAGAGGGACTCAAAGGTTGGAGAGATAGTTTTGCAGGGACCGCACCAGTCGGCGTAGACTTGAGGGAATTTGGTTAGTAATACAGCAGGAGGATCAATGAAGCTGCAGACTTACAATCTGTAATGACAACGTTCGAGGTGCCCAAGAGCTTACTGAACTGGCCTGAAGAGCCGATACTTACAGTGGGAGACATAGTGTCGTACTTGTATGTTGTAACAAGAATGTGGATGTGGATGTGGGGTTGAAGATGGAGCTTGAAGTTGGTGATGATCTGGTCCGTCCCCATCCCTGGCCTGGCCTGGCCCTGGATCCAACGGGCCGATGAGGTCCCGAGCCCGCATCCAACGGGCCGACTAATGTTCCGGGATTCTGCCAGAACAATGGCTGACCGCCCGATATTTTCTTTATGTGAGACTTTATTCTACTTACACTTTCAAAAGCAACTCGAACAAAATGGGGAGAAGCGAAACAAACGCCATGGTAACATATTCTGATCATGTATATATTGTATGCATTACTAATTGAGCAATTACAGAAGCGGAAACGCAAATCAGAGGCCAAACCTATATCAAATGGCACTCCAGACGTCACAGCAAAGAGCCCCGCGGTGGTTGATACCTCGAAGCCAACCGCTATATTCCAGCCAAGTAAAGGACGAGATTGGACAGTAAGCGTTGCTCTACCTGGTAGTATCATATCGAAGTAATTTTCCCAGAAACAATCCCGCAAGAACTCCATTACTGACCTCGATAGTTGCCAAACCCATGAATTACGAACCTCCATGGCCGGCCACGTAGCCCGCGCCCTGGCTGTCTTCTGCGTAGACGAAGTCATTATATTCTCCGATGGAAACTCAAAGAATCCTGCGAAACGCCATCACAACCGTACACACTCCTACGCCCACCAAGCCGATCCCTCACAAAACGAATACACAGGCGACAAAGACCCGGACCACTTCCTCTTCCACCTCCTAAACTACCTCGAAACGCCTGCCCATCTACGAAGACTCCTGTTTCCTATGCATCCCAACCTAAGGACTGCGGGCACCTTACCCAGTATAGACCTACCGCATCATCTGAGGCCCGATGAGTGGTGTGCATACCGCGAGGGCGTTACGCTAGCGGGCGCGGATGAGAATGGGACGTTTGTGGAAGCAGGGTTGAGGATACCGGTCACAGTTGAGCAACAAATACCCGAGAAGAATAGAGTTACGCTGAAGTTCGAGCCTGGTGCGAAAGCGGCTTCAAAGGACGCCACGGCGCAGGTGATTAGAGCGGAGGCTGTGAATCCTGCTGAGCCGAGGGAGGAGAGTGGGTATTATTGGGGATATAATGTTCGGAAAGCTGGGTGTTTAAGTGATGTGTTTACGGAGTGCACTTATGATGGGGGGTACGATATTACTCTTGGCACTTCTGAGCGTGGAATTGATGTGGAGAAGCTGTATTCAGGGGACGAGGAACAAAAAGTGGGCAACTTCAAGCACCTCTTAATTGTGTTTGGAGGTGTTGCCGGTCTTGAAGTTGCGGTCAAGAATGATGGGGAATTGCAAAAACTGGGAGTAGTGGAGGCGAATGATGTGTTTGATAGATGGGTCAATGTTTGTCCAGGGCAGGGCAGCCGGACGATCAGAACGGAGGAAGCAATCTGGATTGGATTAATGGGTCTCAGAAGACTAGTAGTCAACAACGAGTAACACCAAAAGGTCACATTATGGTTTGATGAACGATATAAGTGCAGCTCTCTGCGATCAATCGGGTGTCTCCGGGACCTCCCATGTAAACTCCACTTTACAAATGTTCGCCAAGCGGCGGATCACTAGTCTCGAAATTTCTCTGCTGTAATATTTCAGATTTCTAGTAATCCTTTACTTGCACCAAACATGGCATGCCAAGTAGCAATTGCATAGCTTCATTCGTTGAGTTAGTATCGCATGTGTTACATGCACTGCCGAGACTTCAAGTTCATTCCTTGTCAATACTTTCCATCAGTCTGGTAGAAGGCACCGTTTGTGTTGAATGTTGTTCCTTGCAAACCAGCCACCGGTGGCATTGCGCCAAAAGCGTCTTCAAAGCTGCCACCACCTTCAATGAACGAGTTCCACACCGTCTAATATGCGTATGTTAGAGGGGTAGGGACGATTTAGTACTTTTGTACTTACCCAGTCTATGTTCAAATCAAACGGATCATCAACGAGTTCCATAGTGTCGACAGCACAATTAGGAAAGAGCTCCCCTGCGTTTTGAGGAACTGGGTCCAGTCCTTCTGGAGGCCGCGAACTGGTGGTCCACTTTTCTGAATTGCCGAGCATACAAGTCAAGACACGATGAACCTTCCATGCATCAGCCGCGGATTCAGAAGCAACTCCTTTGGCGTGACCCCAAATTTCGCGAGAGCCGTGAAGTGCGGACAGTATAGTTTCGAGTTGGTCAGTGTCAATATTATTGTTTCGTACCGAAGCCTCAACTTTCCTGTGTTTTAGATCTAAGCAGAGTATCATCGCCGCCAAGATGAAAGTTTCGCTTGTGTAGGTGAAGCGGTACCAGTGCCGAGTGAAACGTAGCCTTCCATCTGGAAGTATTGCATCATTGTACAAGATACGTTGAAGTGATAGCAGTGCCAGGGCAGATTGGACACATTGCAAACGCGACCGCTCATACTTCTGATCGAATCTGCCCTTCGCCAAGAACTTGCGGTGAAGAACACATATTCCTTGATTGTATAGAAGTTCAAGCTGAACAGTTCCATTGAAGATGTATGACTCGTCGACTTTGCGGTTACTCAGCGAACCAAATTGGAGATATGGAGGAAGTTCAGAATGACAGCGTGTCAGCTCAGCGTCAAGATTGAGAACGGTGTCGTAGGAGTAAGTGTCTAGTGAATTGAGCAAATCACCGATTTCTCCTATGACACGTACTATTGATCCTTTAGCTAACATATAGGCAACAGGAGTCTGTTCTCTTTTCGGCCTCGAGGGAGGGAGTTCTGTCATTCCTTCATATAATTCTGAATTGTGAAGACTGCGCGGTTCTAAGGTGTCATACTTTAGGGATCCGATCATGCTTGGAAGACCAGCTTGAAATGATGTCAAGGCATCGATTCGTATGACGAAAAACCATATTCGTCTTCTCATTTCGCCTTGAAATACTGAGATCTCCTTGTACTGAGATGGGTCGCTGAGGGCTGAATAAGTACTTGCTTGCTTGTTGGCAATGGACGTCACTAACCGTTGGTAGCCCATTTGCAGTGCAACACGGTTGATTACCCCAAACATGAGCCACACACTTGCTCCACTGTCGTGACGAGTTGCTTGTTCTGCCATGGAGTTGAAAATGAGTGTTTCAATTGTGAAGGGAGCACATTTGGTAATGTCTCCCAACATGAGGCATTGAGCTGTTCTTAAACGATACAGCTCAAATAGAGATTCGGATACTCCTTCATATTCTGGCGGCTCATCAAGAAGGATGTGGTAAGACAGCATGACTAATGTCAGTATCGAGAATAGAAGACCAAGCCACATGACCTTGCTCTGAGTCGGGTTGGCGCAGAAGTCTTCATACTATTGAAGTCTATTAGAATAATGGTCTTAGATTGTAGTTATGATGATGGAAGTACCTGCTGCAAGAATGTCGGGCAATGCAGAAAGTCTGAAAGTGTTAGATGGACGGTGACAAACAGTATATGCCTCAACTGAACTCACTGAATGCTGGTACGGGACATTCTGTATCATCGAAAAACCTCCGAATCAGTTTGTCTACGGCTGATTTTGCTGGTAGTGTTGCCAAAATTTCACTGAAAGATACATGTTTGACAATTCCACTTAACAAGAAGGGGCCATCGATAGCAGGAAATGATGCATCGAAATCCTCTTCTTGGCCTTCTTGGGCCTGGGTCCTACGCCAACTAATTAGCATAGTAAAGTCAAGGGTTTGTAGAGCAGCCTAGGAGCTGTCTCGGAAACCAGCATATTGGCCCCTGAAACCTTTCCCATGGAGGAAACAGCACTTTGAAACGAGAGTAACCCTACCAAATGCTTCTGAGTTCTTTCAGCTTGGTTATATTAGCTTTGGGATCACGTGAAGGTATTCAAAAGTGCGAGAAACGTACCTCTCCAAGCACATCCCCCCAGTGAGTCGAGCCTCGATATTGAGAATGATGCTCAGTTACTTCCATTACTCCCAAGCCGTGTTTGATTTCGTTCAAAAGTTGATTGTTATCCAGTTTTGTTTCAGTCTGCATGCCGTTCCTCTTTTCCCCTGGATAGACTTTTCTTTTGTAAGATTGGTCCTGAGAGGCTAAAGTTGTAACAAGTGTTTCTAAGCGGTCTATGCGTTGTTGCATGCTTTCCACAGGCACGGAACGTACTACTGAAGGAGGCGTATTTTTTGTACGAGACCCTGCGTAAGCGCATGCATGAGGCTCTTCCCTTACCATGCAGTTTTGACATGGCTCCTCTCGATTGCATTTCAGTCTTGAAATGAAATCAGTGTGCTTCCATTCTGCCTGATAGGTAAGCTTACTTTCGACTTCGACAAGGGCCACATGACAATGGAGTACGAGTGCTTCTGCTGGCCTTGCGCTGATGATGTTTTAGGGCCAGAGAATCAGGCGGGGCCGCGGACTTGATGGGCTCCATACTCGAATATTGTACATGAGCGGAGTGATTTCATGAGGAAAGATTACTCCTGTCTGTGGCGCCCCATGTCCATGGGTGAGAAGCGGGGCTTGTATCACGTGACTGATCAATTTTAAGCCTTGTCCGCGGACTTGGCGTGAACAGCATTTCATTCCAGATTCTAATACATCACGATTCTTTCTAACGGCGTGTAAGTCCGAGAAGTACGCGGTAACCTAAATAATGCATCCTCTCAGTATCTATATAGCCTTCAAAGTCGAAGTTTCATTTTGCAATAGCTCAAATCATTTCAAATAATCATGGCGATAATTGAAGATCTCCGCCTTCAGCTCGAAAAACTTCCCTATCCCGTTGCTGACTGCACGGGGAAAACCATTGTCGTTGTCGGGTCGAATATTGGTATGGGAAAAGAAGCCGTCAGGCACTTTGCAAGGTTAAATGCTTCGAAAATCATTGTCGCCGTGCGCTCGGTTTCAAAAGGAGAAGAAGCCAAAGCCGATATCGAATCAACGACTGGACAGAGAGGTGTTCTTGAGGTATGGGAATTGGATTTGGCTCGTTATGCCTCAGTTCAAGCTTTTGCTGCCAGACTAGCAACCTTGCCCCGTGTTGATGCGGTAGTTGCCAATGCAAGCATTGCAAAGCATAAATTTGAATTGTTTGAAGGCAATGAAAGCCAAATAACGGTCAACGTTATCAGCAATTTCCTACTTATCTTGCTAGTGCTACCGATATTGCGAAAGTCTGCTGCGACATGGAACATTGCACCAGTCATCACTGTTGTTAGCTCGGACATCCACTCCTGGACCCAGTTTCCCGAATGGAAGGCTCCAAATACACTTGCTAAGTTGAATGATGAGAAGACTTCAAATATGCCAGATAGGTAAGTAGTTATTGAGTATATTAAAGAAAATGGAACTTACATATGCGCAGGTATCCCGTTTCCAAGCTTATTCAGATTTTCGCCACTCGCGAGATTGCTGCGAAAATAGCGGACGAGAAACCTAAAGTTGTTCTTAACGTTATCAGTCCTGGCTTGACAAAAACTGCTCTGACACGAGATGCCACTGGAATGACGAGGGTTGCTATGGCCATTTCGAAGTTTTTGATGGGGAGGACCAGTGAGGAGGGAAGTAGGACGCTTGTGCATGCCGCCACGGCAGGGCCTGAAAGCCATGGGCTTTACTTCGTTAATTGCGATCTCAAAAAGTAAGTAGCACCGTCTGTATAGTTTGACTTGCTTAGTGACTAATTATGGGACAGAGGGCCCCTGTCAAACTTCGTTACGAGTGCTGAGGGCGATGAAGCGCAGAAGAAGCTTTGGGGAGAAATTCTTGCAAAGTTGGAAATCATTCAACCTGGAATAAGTGCGAATCTTTGAAACGTATACGTCCTGAGCTGAAAGTGTAGAAGTATTTCTTGCAATGTTGCGCTTTTGGGCGTCAGAATAATGTGCCAATTACCGGGAATCTGGATGCTAAAGGGGTGAGAGTGGATAGGCTAGGATCTTATTCTTGTGAGATAGATTCTAGAACAGTGCAATTCGGAAGTCAGAAATTCTCAAGATGCGAGTTTGAAATTACAAACGGTCGCTATCTAGATAATGGTTGCAGGGAAGCAGAAGCGGAAGGAACGATTAGTTGTATAATAAGTACTCAAAACCATATTCCAATAGCTTGAAGCGGAAATTTGAGACAAGGGGCTAGTCACGTGCGAACTACCCACTTGGAATTCAAAGTTTTAATAATTAAGTATCCAAAATGGCGAAATCAATCTGTTAACCTATAGATCTAGAAGCTAGAAATGGGTTAGCCCACCTACTTCAACTGAAGTCACATGGTATGCGAATCACGCCGGCATTGAGATTCCACACATTCGTGTTCCACTAAAATTTCCCTTCTCCTAAACCACAAGCAGCCACCCCCTCAACTTTCCTCAAACGAAAACCAAAACCATTTTCTGTGGCGATACTCCTCAATCACGGAGCTGACTGCAATTTGGGTGCTGGTGCAATGTATCATGCTATCAGCACAGGCGACTGTGCCGTACAAGTGTTAGAGCTACTTTTAGGGAGAGGTCTTCACAAGAAGGAAAGATTCCTGAAATACGACAATTATGATAGTCTAGCCTGCATATCGTACGGAAAGAAAGAATGGCGCCATTCAACAAAGGAAACAGTTGGCACTCTTCGAAAAGCAGGATTTCATCTTAACATCGATAATGTCCCACATTCTCAGGCCAGGGATCCGGACGAGCCCAATACCAACAGAAGTTGGCTTCTAAGCCTGGAAAAGAAGCAGCAAATTGAGCTCTTCCACGAGGCTAGTCTTTCGGATGATCCGGGCTCCGATTCTGCGAGTCGCAGCAATTCCGACCAAGATCTGGAAATGACTGAGGCTGACTTGAGCGATGGAGTGGAAGGAATAGAGGTGGATCAGGATGATAGTGAAGATTGATACAGCCAAGGCTTGCCAGGTCTAGGTTCATTTTGAATTGAGTTTAGATTTTCAACTTTCAATTTGGATCTTGCTCAATCTCATTGGTTCCAGAGTTTCTTTAGTAGTCCAGGGGAAAATGAAAATGGCCTCGATGTCTCATGAGTTGAGTTGATGCTATTATAGATTGCCTCTAATTGTTTGCCCTCTAATTTGAGGCTTTGAGCTTATAGTATGTGCATACAAGATCATAATTCGATGGCGTGCAACAAATTTGGTTAGCAAGTGATGTGATGGACTTAGCTTCCTCAAATAATGACAAAAAGGCAGAAGACTACTTCGACTTCTGAAAAGCAAGATATCTTATTGTCATAAGAATCCACTACAGATACCATCAACCGGTTTTCCCAGCATCTTGCTTCCCAACCCCGCTTCCGACGCCCCTTTTAACCTCCCTTTTAAAGTGCCACCACCTCTTCGCCGCTCTTTCCCCCGCCCTTCTCCTCCTGCCCCTCGGGTAATTAATCGGACTCTCACCTCCAACAAAAACACAAGCATCATAAATCAACCCCCCCCACAAGCCCACCACTAATCGTCGCTCCCCAAGCCCCGTAAATCCACCACGCATGGTAATCCGTAAATACCCGGCCTCCATACCCTACAATGGCAGCAACAACCCTCGGTCCGAAATCCCTAGCAGGGTTCATACAGCCACCCGTATTATAGCCAAACGCCATCGTCAAGACAAAGACAACGAGGCCGACAATCAAGGCGTGCATACCAGCTCCTGGAGGCGCGTTCGAGTCATCACCCAGAGCGAGGATAGCACACGAGAGGAACGCAGTCGCCACGAACTCATTCCCGAACGCTGCGCCTATACCCTCAAAAGATTCTGGCTCTGTGAAGAGGGACGTGCCTGTCCCACCTGCAAAGATACCGACAGGGGCGCTGCTTCCGCCCTCAGCAGCAACGTCTCCGCCCTGTGAGTCGTAGGAGATGATGGCATCGCGGTAGATTCCGTAGGCTATCAAACCAGCGAGAAAGGCGCCGAGGAGTTGAGCTGCGATGTAGACAAGGGCTTTGCGGAAGGGGAAGCCGCGGTAGAGGCAGAGCATTAGTGAGATTACTGGGTTCAGGTGACCTCCAGATATGCCACCTGCGATGTAGATTCCAAGTGTGACTCCAAGACCCCAGCCCCAGTTTTGGGATTGAAAAGTTCCGGCTTTTTTGTTAGATGTTTGGACAGCAAGATTGGTGCAGAGACCAATTGTAACCATTACCATCGTCTGAGAGAGAATTAGAATGGCCTGAAAATGGTAGTGAAATATGCATGCCACTTACTGCTAAACATTCCGCTAGGGGTTCTCGAAATCTAGCTCGGAACGAAGCCCAACCATTGTGCATTTCCCATTCTTCTTGAGCATACTGGTTGGCCTCTTCTTTCCCCAAGGACCATTCATCAGACTGATGCCCCGCTTCGAGGTCCACCGCGTCCTGCGGAATCGCCCGTTCTGCAAAGTCTTGAGATACTGTGGTGGTAGCAGATGGCATACGAGAAGGAACTTCCCGCACGCTTTGTAGCCTGTGCATTGGTCGATCTCCAAACTGTTCATCAAAATGTTCAGAGTTTCTCGATGGTTGTTTGGCAAGCCAGTCGTCCATGGGATCACCTTTCTCATCCTTCGGCGTCATGTGATGGCCATCACTATTTCTAGATCGCACTCTAGAGGCTATATCATTGCGCCCCTCCCCCAAATTTTGGTGTCCATATCCGCGCTCTTTAGTATTACTTTCTTCACGTCCTCCGCTGTCCTTTCCTGCCATCCGTCTCTGGTCCCCAATCATTCCCAATTGCGGAATCGCGTCTGCGCCGCCCGGCTCTTCCACTTCCGCATTTGTGTCCTCAACCACACCTTGTGTTTGATTCTGCTCTCTCTCACCCCCATCTTGGCCTCTTCTCATCCCGGGCCTGACCACACGAGGAAATGGCTTTGCGAGTCCCCATACCGGTGCATTTTCAGGCTTTTGGTATCTGGGATTGAACTCGTAGTATTTAGGATCAACATAGCTCTGTCCCTGTGGTTGGATTGTGGGATTCCCTGCGAGCGAGTAGAGTGGTCGTTCAGAAAGATATGGAGCGCGGGAAAGGCTACGATGTGGTTGAGGAATTAAAGTGGGGCGATTCGATCCAGGGTGACCGGTGTGTGCTCTCCTTGCAGTGGAAGCATTTGAATATTGTGAAATTGTATTCGGTATTTGAGGCCTGGCTTGATTAGAGTCTGGCTGTAGAGCGGGACTCGCTGAGGGGCGGCTTCGTTGCTTGTCGAGTGGTTGCTGCTCTCCAGCGTTTTCTACCATTACTTCGGACGGAATTGTTTAATGTCTATATGAACATAAGAAGAAATGAAAAAGAGTAATATGTAATACTTATACTCGGTAAGAAATCCGATTCCTGAAGAGATATAGATTTCGTTGATTTACCATGCTCTTACCTCATCTGGTATGTCTTTCACCCAAAAGAGAAAATCTATGCAGAGCATATCGTCATCTCCAACTCCACCCTTTTTTTTCTCCGAAGTTATCCGCGTCTAGCAGCTGCAGCTGAACGATCGCCGACCCACTCATGAATTGACATGTTTAGTTGTTTTAGTTGAGTTCTTGAAAAACAATTCGCTAGCCCCGAATTTCGCGGACATAACTCCTGCCGAGATTTCGGTAAATGTCCACTTCCATATTGCACATGACTCAGGGGCAAAAAGCTGCAAACTATAGCAAACTTGAACTGCTAATAAATACTAATTATTTACTATATTTATATTATAGTTATTATCCTAATAAGTTACTTGCTATAAATTCTATTAATACCCTTTTATAAATATAAAGACCAACTTTTTACTAAGCTATTAATCCGCGCCTAGCAGCTGCAGCTGAACGATCGCCGACCCACTTATGAATTAATATGTTTAGTTGTTTTAGTTAAGTCCTTAAAAATATAAAGAATTCGATAAACTCTCTAAATAACTAAGTAAAAGTTCTGCTGCGATGTATATATCGCGTGCACCACGTGACTTAACATGATGACTAAGCATATTAGCAAAGAGGCATAAACTCTTCGCTTACAGCTTAGTATAGAGAATACAAGACGAAGCAACCTAATAGAACCACACGACTAGACAGCGAACTAGTGTTATGATCACAAAGTGATGCATACCTATAATACCAACATATATAGTTATATTTTATTAACCTTATAGTATTTACATGCCTTACATTTTGACCTCTGGCGGAAAAAGGTTAGGCCTTTTCGAAGAGGCTCCGCTGCCTAATGCGGGATATTGCAAATGCAAACTTTATAACACTTGCTTTTCTCTTTTGATATTCTGGCCGCTTCTTAACAGCCAAGCCAGCAGTGCAGATTTAATTGATATCTGTAGATGCAGGGCCGAAAGAGAAGGTGATCGCTAGCCTTATGTCTAGATTTGATCACCGACACCACCTTGTATGTATACGTGGTCCAACCACATTTCGAAGTCCTGCATGCTTCGAGTTACACAACATCAGCTTTGGAGCCATTTCCTTGCTTTTCGTCACTTACCTACCGCCCCCTCAAAACAAGCCTTTGCACAGCTTCCCAATCCTCATCCTCGCATGGCTAAAGCGGATGTCGTTCATGTAGGTGTCAGGATAATGGACGTCTGCGGGTGGAGAGTAGATCATCTAAAAGCCAGGACTTCAGTACTTCTTTACTCGATGTGGTGGCTCAGAAACCAGTGGGTGTCGGCAGTCGCGTATGAAGAGCTACTGCCTATGTCCATCCCATCTGAACTGGTTACTCGGCCGGAATTGCATTGCACTGCCTTACTTGCTCTGCCGCCCCACAGCCAGACGTCAGGCTCCGCCCCTTTAGCGGCTCTCACGTCTTTGGACATACACATACTATTAGATC